AGAGAGAGAGAGAGAGAGAGAGAGAGAGAGAGAGAGACTAAATCCATGCTGTTATATACACTAATATGTTGATTGCTGGTAGAACACATAGATCTAGCCCTATCTGATACATCATATAGGCCTACAGATATCCATTCTGTTCCTTACGCGCAATTTTCCAACACCTCGATCAGACCCACGGAAATGTATGCTCCTGTGAGCTGTCTCATCAATAACATATTTAATTATTCTAATGTGCGTCTGTTTCGAATTTATTTCTTTTATGTTCAGGGTAGTCAGGCAGGCCATATGCACTGTTTGGGTCACTGGTATTTATAGATCTAGTTCATATTTGTGGTCGATGATTATAAATTATAGGCCTACTATTTACGATCTCCGGTTGTGGTACCAGTCTTCATTCTTGTTTAGCACTAGGATCTAGATATTTATCTCTTTTCAGTTCCTGCATGATGTCCTTCACCCCCGTTCCCCAAGTCTAATTGAAATTCATTAGATCTATAGATCAAGAGATTTTTTTTTCCTCACTGCAAGAGATTTCCGAAAATGGAAATCTCACGGAGGCGAGGCTAGGCCTACTCGATCCGACGATCTCGGTCGTTGGTAACAAGTTGTACGTTGGCCTACTGGTTTAGTCCCACTCCGCGACGTACGTTCTCATTTCTCATAACATAAATGTACTTTGGTTCACAGCTGCTAGGCCTACACAAATTACAAAATAGGCCTAGCCCAGATTGTTTTCCTGCTCTGACATCGTCGGTCAGGGATCCGGGAACAGTACATCATGTAGTCAGCAAATGTATTTTAGACGTCAAAGTGCCCTTACGCAAGTTCTTTGAAAACCCACAATACAAAAAGAGAGGTACATAGATCTATAACTTTGAATAAATTTTAGATTTACTTTAAATTATTTTTCTGACGCGAAACATCAGATATTAGCCAGATGAAAGGTCTGAACCCCGCCATCCTTGTTCAAGAAAGAGAACGCCTCTATAGTCTATAGTGACACAGCACACAGTAGGCTACATTCAGGCTGACACTGACAAACATGTATTCGCTATCACGTGACAACGACAGAACAGTAATCTATGTCATTATGACATAAAGGAACGAAACTTTTTTTATGCGTAGTCCACATTCTTTTCACGTCCGTAAAATCACAAAAGTAAATAAAGCTTTAGATCTGAAACAAGAAAATATAGATTCTAGATCTAGCCTGCTCTAAAATAATATAGCCTAAGCTACATGCTAAAGTGGGGAATCTGCAGATAGCTGTGTACCGTAGGCCTTCACAATACAGCGTGTCAATAAAAACATAGCCTAATTATGGTCATATTGCTATGTATCGGATACTGTCACGCGAGGTTGAAAAAAAAAGGATTTTTCAGCTGTTACCCATAACATGTACAGAAATTAAATAACAGACTGGCTGGCTCATTTATTGATATTATTAATATTAGACTGTAATATGGCATATATAACAGACTCCAAAATGCCGTTTGGACACGGTCTCATAGCGACTTGGATTTCGCTTGTCAAGAAATTACCCTCATGTCGCAGGCCCTTGTCGCCTTGTTTTCATTTCTATGTAAATCATTAAAGGGGGGGGGGGGGGCTACACCCCCAAAGTCCCGTTTCGGCTCCATATTATGGAATTTGAGTTGTTTGCATTTTTAGCTTCCTCAGCCTCTCCTAAACTATTTCATCGCATAAGAACCCCCCAAAACCGTATTTTTTTCCATACCAGGCATGTTTGTCACCACCATTTCCTCATAAAGTCAATATTTTATTTTTCTTTATCGGCCGTTTTCTCAAAACGCGACTTTTCGATCTAAAACAATACTTTATTGAATAACTTCACCATTTTTCATCCAATCTTCATGAAATTTTCCAAGAATGAAGAAAAGATGTAATACTAGAAATTTGTCAGTTGAATTTTTGATATATGGAATAGATTTTTGGTGGTGATGTCTTGAGTGTGGATTTTCACGAATTTTTTGCAAACTTGAACACTACCCCAGGAAAAAATTCATAAAAAATTTTCGGAGTCGTTTAAGAAAAAAACAACAGACACATTTTTAGATCTAATGTTTGTTAACACGCAAGCAAAAAAACAACAACAAATAATCAATTTCCATGAGCGATAAGTGCGGTATTCATTACGTAAGACATGTCAACAAAATCCAATATGGCCGCCGTATCCATGGAAACGAAACTTTTAAATCAAATTTGATAGCAGATTTTAAGAATCCTTACTATGCTTGTTATATGTGTGAATTATGGTAAAATTTGGTCCAGTAATAAGCGAGATAGCCTCCAGGTGTAGCCCCCCCCCCCTTAAATTATCTACATTGAAACGGGCCGCTGTCATAAAATCACAACGTGATTGAAATTATGTCCCGGGCCCACATGTCGAAAACTGAAGTCAGTGGTTTAACCTTCAAAAGAAAAAAAAAATCTGAAAGATTAGGTGAAACCTCAATTAGAAAACAACACCAGTGCTGGAAAAGGCAAGACAGCAGGCCTAAATGAGAAATAAAAGACAACAATACTGATAAAACATAATACTAGATCTAGCCTATTTACTATTACATGTAGTAGTGGTAGCCTTACAGTACAAGCAAAATAGACCGTGGATCTTGGATAAGCCTACTGAAAACTGTAAGTGATAACGATAGCATATTACATATAATATTGTAAAAGGATGTCTTTCACTCGGCTTTTAGTTTACTTGCTTATATTACGTATACACGCACACGCACGCGCGAGCGCGCGCGCGCGCGTGTGTGTGTGTGTGTGTGTGTGTGTGTGTGTGTGTGTGTGTGTGTGTGTGTGTGTGTGTGTGTGTGTGTGTGTGTCCGCGCTTTGAGTATATAAGCGTGAGCGTGTGGTACACGCTGATGCGGGCGTGTATTTTATACTATTCATTTGCGTGCGAGTGCGCTCGTGATGAAGCATTCCACCCACATGGCAGCTCGTACGACCAACCTCTCCCTCCCCCTTTTTTCTTAAAACTCGTGGCGTGTCTGCAGCTAGGCTAGAAGAGCCAACGTAGCACGACTGTTTCTCGATCGGGTCAGCCTCCTCACCAAGGACAGAACCGAGGACTGCGTTGCAGGGCAAGCGCATGCGCAGAGAAAAAAAAAATAATATGCCTGTTTCATAATTTACGGAGTCGGTAGATAGGCCTGTCAAGTGCCCGATTTTTGTCACCCGCCATTACACCTGCACGTAGAAGCTCAGCACTGATCGTGTTTTTTCTAATTTAGATTCTTTGAACCGAAAATGTTGATGGGTTAACGTTCTCCAGAAGAGCAAACTGCGTATCTTTATATGCTTGATAACAGCATGCATATATGCGACATAGTTCTGTTGTGGTCAACTGTCATCTTATCCGTCACAATCTGGCACAATATTGTTTAAGGTTGCACTGTAACATGCCTCTTCAGTCACCTTAACCCCCCTCCACCCCTCAACAACTTAAATCAAGCCAAAAAAGAAAAGAAAAAAAAGATAGAATGCTGCACAGTGACCGAAGGAAGCTGAGAAAGTTAATGACTAGATATAGAAATAACAAGATCATAGAAGAATTTTAATTTTGAACTGAAATAGAATATAGAACAGAAATCCACTTAAAAAGATATTAGCTGTAACACACATTCTCTCCTCGATCTGTACTGCTCATAGATTTAAAAAAAAATATATTGTAGACAAAACACTACGAACTATTTGACACCCCCCCCCCCCCAACAATTTCTTTTTGCCTACAGCTACCACCGAGAATATGAAACAGGCCACGCTTTATCAGGAACAAACAACAGAATTGAAAATGCTTCTCGTCCGTTTCTGCGAATTTACAAAGGTAAGAAGTACTGATCACTGTAACGTACCCCCTCCCCCTTGTGATAAATGGAGTATTGGAGCAAATCATTGATCTTGAATTGATGTCTTCTTCTTATTTCTCCACTGCCCACCCTTCCCCCTCCAATAAGAACACCAATTCTTCTGCAAAGATGTTTGTTAGGTGTGTATTTCCCCAGTTAGGTCCACGTCTTGCCTACCCTATTTACATCTGCTGCCAACTTTCTTTGCTGCTCTGAACTTTGATTCCCTTTGTTCCTTTGATCCTAGGGATATTTTCTCCTTGCCCTTCTGGTTACATTTATTTGTAATTAATTTTTTCAAAGCCTGTTCAACTAATTGCTGCATTTCTGTGTCTCTTCCTTTTGTATCTTTCTTTTTGTCTTCCATTTCTAATAGTCCCCCTTGATTTGAATGAAAGATAACTGCCTAGGCAAACATCTCTGGCAAAAAAATATGTTCCAAGTTATACCACTGGTGAACGATTTGTTCTCCCAATTTTAATCTCCAAATTTCTGCTTCATACAAAAGAACATAGTTCTTATTTCTTAAAAATAAACTTCTGTTTTGAGTCTTCATTGGATTCTTTGATTTCCAGACCTAGCTTTTGCACTACACTGACACTTTACTTTGATCACCCTAGTCGGCCTAGTTCTTTATCCATGTTTGTTGAAGACTCCACAAAAATATTATTTTCATGTAAACCTAACAGCTGTAAGTATTTTATACATAAAATATGTATGAAAAGTTGACATCATTAACTGGAAGTGTTGTAGATATAAACAGATTCATAGACTTGATATTGTATTTGGATTTCTTTATTTGATAGTTCTAAAAAGGATGGAGACGACCGATGGAAGTGCAAGCTGGAACACCGCACATCCTGAAAACCACATCAATACTGTTCAAGGTGCGTCACTCATGCACTTCCCACAATGCACTTGGCTTCTCTGTGAGCTCATAGATCACAATGGCGGCCATTTTTGTTTTGTCGTACCTGTGTTTCCCAGACTGAAAATTCCTCATTTCAGGTCGAAAGAAATGTAAACAAGCCTACGTTTTTATGGACGTACGTATTTTCATTGCTACTGTTGTTCTGAGCATCTTAAATCGTCTTTTTACAAAGACTTTGTTCGTAACCTTATCGAAAATTGCAACACAACAGCGACGTGTTTCATTTTAGCCCACACATTGCATTTCATTTGGTGTTAACGATGAACTAAGTATGTTTTTTTTCAGTGTTTCCATTTTTAAGAAACGACTGTGGTAAATCTTTATAGTTTTCTTGAAATTTTAAAAATATCGATGGTGTTAATGATGTACTTGATCGGAAATTAACAAACAGATAAACGTAATATTGCACGGCACACAAAGGCATGTGCACTGCCCACCAGACTATTGGACGCCATCTTGAACATTCGAAGTTGGCTGCAATGGACAAGGTGTTTTAAAAATTTTTGTTTACAGAATTACAGATTCTTCACATCCGTGTCCTTCAATTTTTATTGTTGTATAGTCATTTCAATTTGTTTTGATCAAATTTATTTGTAAATTCTCCTATTGATTGTCATTGTGAAAATGGTCAAACTCTGGACCAGCATGGCTTGTTCTTTCACTCCCAAATTGGGCTGAGGAAAACATATTTTTTGAAGACTTCTAAAACTTAAATTTATTACTTTTTTGCAAAGAATTTTTGTATAATGGATTGTTCTCTTTCAGATATTCTTGTTCTGTGTCAATAGTATATATTACAATTGCTTATTTAGGGCTATTATTTGTTACCTCTTTTTCTCTTCTCTTTTCGAGTTGTTTTCTCGGGTTTTCTCTTCTCTGTGTACTCACCTGCAGTCTTCACCAATTTTTAAGGCATCATTGATTCTGTACCACCCCAAAAATCATGTGATTTGATAGTTTGACCATATGACTTTCAAATGACCTTGGTTTAAAATGAATTGAAAGGGGACCCATTTTTGCAAAATTTGAAAGTTTGTAAGCTATACTACATTAAATACACACTCCTCTTAGTTCTCAGAAACTTTTATTACAGAAATTTTAAGGCTGTGTAACTCATAGAATCTTTGAAATATTATGTGTAGCTACAGGTGATTTTCCTGCATGTGGGCTAGGCTTGTCATGTTGTAAGAAACTGAAGTATGGTTGTCTTCTTTGCTTGTTGTGATAAAATCGTACCAATACCAAGAGTTCAGAGCTGCTCTGATTGTTTTGTGCTGAAAGACTATTAATGATCTGTAATTATTTGTTAGATTTAAAATTGTTGTCTTTGTCTTGTTTGTATTTCATTTCCATGACGAGAAAATTTCTAAATAAGAACATACTTAGTTCATTATTCATAGTAATGATGTTCTGGGCTTGGTGTAAAGCTAACAATGATTAATTCCATTAAAGGGCGGTTTCTTTCCTTTTCAGGGATGATTTGGGGGAAATGTACAATTGTGAGGCAGTTCTGATGTTATTCCCGTAATTTGTTTGAAATAGATAAGTTTTCTTCTCCTTAGCTCTTATAATAGTAAGAACCCTCTCCTATTGCTTAACTAGCTAATTATGAACCAATTATTCGTTAAATGCGTTTTCGTGTACATCATTGAATGTGTTTCATCATATTTTCTGTTGAAACTAGTTCAGGGATGAGTTTAGAATACTTTGACGGTAGTTTGATCAAATTCTAAGGGGGACCCATTTTTGTAAATTTCTGTTGAAATTGAAACTTAGAATTTTTCTCTGGTGTCTTCTTGAATCGAGTATATATAAAAGTTTGTTTGATTTCTCCAACTTGTATGCCGTACTATGTGTTTAAAGTGAGTTGTGAGGCCTTTGTTGTTGATTTGAAACTGTATAATCTGTAAGGAACAGAGCTATTCACTATACCTTTAAGGACAGTGACATATGTTCTACATATTGCATGTAGATGAAGATGATTGGTTTCGAGAGATTGGTTGATAAAGCGTTTCTACAAAAAATGCCCTTTTCTCCCTCTTTTTGTGTGTGTGTCTGTTTTTGCTGTCTAAGGACAATTCAAAATTGTTTGTCATGTTACAAAAAACATTTTGTTTGTTTTTGGTCTGGAGTGAAGACTGCTTTTTTGAGGGTTCAGGTTTGAAAATAATTGTTTTTGGGCCTATTCTGTTATTTTATGTTCATGCCAACTGTGTGTCGATTATGTTTGAAACAGATTATTCATTTGAACTTGTCAGTTGTACGAGAAAGTAAAGATTCTAAAACTGCTTTTCAGGTGATTGAAATTGAACACTTATCATTTCTCTAATTCCTTTTTCTTTTTTTCGGGGTCACCAGGTTGGATTTCCGTCGCTACCAGATCTGTCTACACCCTTATTCGGGTCCAGTGGTAGCAAAAGTAAATCTAAGGATAGCCCAGTTGAAGAAGATCATTCAAAACCTGTAGGCAATGGCCATGCTGACTCGATGTCTGACTCAAGGTACTTGATAATGTGTGTCATGTGATTGTGAAAAGTGAATTGTAGACTTTTATGAATCATAATTGAACATTTTAATTTTTTTGGGGCCAAAGTATTATGTGATATGGTTATTTCAAGTTCAGCTTTTATCCAATACAATTGATGAGTTGAGGACGTGAAATAGTCATGTGCTATAAATGCCACGATTGTATTTGGGTGAAAATTTTTTATCGCTTTTCCGAAATGTTGAAACATAAACTCATAGCTGCCAACCAGTATGTAAATAGTGTGTTTAGTAAGTTTTGAAGGTCTGAGTATTGAGTATGGGAGTTTGTTTGGTGTCGAAAAATACATTTTGTTCTGGTTTTTTTTTTTGTATTGCTCCTCACGGACCTGCCAATGCTGAAGAAAATGATGAACTTCAATGACTGAATTTATGATTAATAATGAGGACAAGGCGCATAACTCAGTTGAAGATGTTTCCCTTAATCTCCATCACATTATTCTTGCATGTCTGCCACGAATATCTTAATTTATTACACGCGGAAAAGTTTGTGTGAAGGGTTGGGAGGGGGGTCACTTGGCCAATGCGTATTATTTTGACCAGCTGTGTGGTTAGTCCTTTTTTTAAGAAAGTAGCTGTGTAAACTGTATCGATATAACTTTTGCCAGTTTCTGCAACATTTGAATGGCAATTGCCACAGTGGCATTGCGTGATCACCTTGGGAATTTTGTTTTGGCTATATTAATATATACAATACAGTTTGCATAGTCTATCTTATTCTATTGTTTGGCCTGTCTTTGATATGTGGGGCCAATAGGTCTAAAATTATGGAAACTTTTAAAGAGAGTGACTAAATGGTCAAATAAAAAGAAAAGTAGAATTCACATAAAGTGCTCAGTGCAACCTGAAAATGGAAGAAGAAAACACTTTCGGTGTATTTGATGACAGTTCTAGGTCAGAAACTGATGTTAAAGGTTGCAGTGACAGAAACCCAGAATTGTGTTCCAGAAAAGCCCAGGAACTAAAGTAGTGGACTGAGCATTTGTAGATCTTGAACTGGTATTAACGAGGGAAAATGTCTGAAGATTATTAACGATGGCCCAATGGGCTAGGCCACTCAAGTGTTCAGGATTCGAGATCGGTTGCCAGAGGACAGAGTTATATCTAATTATGATTTTAATTACACTGCCGAGAGTGACATTGATCAAGTGAAAGAAAAAAATGAACAATGTATATTTTTATAGGATTTATCAAAACCTAACCCCTCGTCAAAAAAAAAAAAAGAATTTAAGACAGTGAAAGAAAATTTGAATTGAAAAACCCAATAAAGGTGTTTAAAAAAAGATTAGTCTTGGACACAAAGTAAAGTCGGTGTTATTTTATTTATTTATTTAAAAAAAAAAAACACCATTAGTATGAATTTTTGAGTTTATTTTGGCCAAAAAGATCTGTTATTTAGCTTCTTAGAGTTAGGGAAACTTTAAAGCTATACTTTTTTTATTCAGTGTTCGCTGTTCAGGACTTAGTATAAATGTACAATGCTGATGTTGTTGCATTAAAAAAAAAAATAGCTGTAAGTTTACAGTCATTACTCTTTGCTGTCTTAGGTGGGTTTAACCTTTTCCCTGCAAATAGGTTTTCTCCATTTTAAACGACGGCTTAGTGTTTACCAAAGAAAACTTTAATTGAAAAATATTGATCGTATTAGATGGTTGACCCCACAAACAATTGAAATTTAGACATGAACATGAAACATGTGGATGTAGAATGTAAATGATTATGAAAAGTAATTTTTAGCAAAGAAAAAATTTTATGCAAATCATGACTCGCCCCCAAATGGTTTTGTGAAATCTTTTCAACAGATACCAATAGTGAAACTATAATCAATTGCCTGTGTTCAAGTAGAATTTTGCATCTTTTGCTTGAAAGGTTCCAATTTCACAAAATGTATTGTCAGACTAATAGTGACAAAACATGCTGCACTGTTGAACCTCACTATGGTATTAAAGAGATTTGAAGAAAGCGACATGCAGCTTTTGTCTATACTTTGAAAGTTGGTACCATAGGAAGTAATATAAAATAATTACAGCTGTTCTTAGGATGTTGAGGTTTGATTTTTCTTGTCGACATGGTAAACACGAAGTGTTGGTTTTAAATTACTTTGCCAATCAGGTATAAACAGTGAATAGGAAGTCTAATGTGATTTTTCAAATGGTTAGATTAATAAAGATGGAGGACACCTTTGAGCTGTCTTTATGTCTTTGATGGGTTGGATGGGCCCTGACTGAAAATATTTATTTGATTATTGTTTTGGCTATTTCAATAATTTCTGATATTTACATAAGCATAACTTGTGCCAAAATGAAACTGTTCAGCCTCTGCAGGTGTATACTGTACATTTTCATTTCTTGAAATTATTTTTGTACTCTAATTTCTAAGGAAAGTAAAAAATACAAAGACAAATTTTACAAGCTTTTTCAAATATTTTGAAATGAAAAAAATTGTCTCAAAATCTTGGGAGGGGGGAGCATGTTGCGTTAATCATCTGTCAGACTTTGAAAAGTACTTTGCTTAATTGAAAATAGCTCTGATAAGTGGATCGCATCTCATTCTTTGTGATTTGTATTATTAGAAGATGTTTCACAATTGATGTGGAATTTTTAATGAAAATAGCATCAGCATTTGGGTTCTTTTTTTAAAAACCAAAATTTAGAATAGCTGCTGTTTCGATGACAGTAACATAGCCTGGGAAGCTTAAATTTGGCGGGTTGTCCTTTCTCTACGCATTACATGGAATATGTACATGTGCAGAGATTCATTTAAGCTTCAGTTTTGTGCTTTTCTTCCACCTTCACAAATTAGTACTGTAGCCTATGTTAACCCTATCCGTACGTTGTTTTACTATCATATCCATACGGCTTGGGGAACTGTGACACCACTTTCCAAAGAGGAAATTTTTTCGTCAATCCATTCCGTACGCTTTGCATAGCAGTCTTTGTCAAAATGATTTTTTGAGAAATACTGAAAGTTTCAAAGAGATCTTCGTACTATAAGAATTCTAAAATGTGAAGAAAACACCCCGAGGGTACAAAATGACCCCAGGGCGTACAGATCTGGTTAATAAAAATGGAATTATACATTGCTTTGTGAAATGATCTTGTTTGTTTTATTTGCTTCAACATGTGCTATTGCATATGTGATTATTGGTTCTTGTTTTATAATATTGCACTATAAATACCTTTTCCATAGTTTTTTGAAGTTCATTTTATTTTGTCTTAAATTTTTCCTCAGTGACTCAAGTTCCCATTCCAATTCAGACTCTGATGCAGAGGATGTGAAAAATAAAAACAATTCATCTTCTGAGGAGGAAACTGAGCTACCAAAGCAACTTCAGACATCTGACGATGATGAAGATGATGATGAGGATGACAAAAAGTCGAAGGACTCCGGTTCCGATGATGAAGATGATTCAAAGAAAAATGATTCAGAGTCAGATTCAGAGGACAAGAAAGATTCTAATTCCGATGGACAATCATCCAATGATGAAGATGGAGGTGAAAAAAGTAGTGGGAAGTCTAGGAAGGAGAACCTTCAAAGAGTCCTCTTCGATACTGATTCCCAAGACACGGGTGATAATGACGCATCTCGTGGTGGTAGTGGACGGAGAGTTACTGCTATCAGGGAATTGAAAGATGTGAGTATATGTTTTTGTTTCCTATTTATGACTTGATTTTTGATTGCTTCAAATTTGGATAAGTGGCAGTATGTTGTTTTTTTTTTTTTTTTTTTGGCTGCAATATACTATTTATGAAATGACTTAACAGGCATTTGATAATATAATATGGCTAAAAATGTAGACTTGTTTGTTTTGTCCGAATTGCTGATGGCGTTGAATGAAAAAAAAATTCACTGACATGGTATGATCCTCCAGTAAAATTTTGCGTGTGGTCATGTTATTCGTGAACATTTTGTCTTTGCTGTGTTTCCTCTTCTTTCTATCTTTTCTTGCCTTCACATATTTTGAGTGAATGAGTAAGAAACTGAAAGTGGTGCAGCTTTTTTATTGAGGTCATTTGTAACAAAACGTTGTCTTCCATATTGTGAAAGAATGCTTTTTGATTAAATAATATTGACTTACTCTAGATAAGTCTCAGCACTTGGGAGATTGAATTGCTGATGAGAGTTATTCATGATGGCATTTTTCAGATAACCGTAGAGTTGTTGTATTTGTTAAGGCAATTTTTTTTCTTGGGGGGGGAGGGGGGGTGTACAACACTACCGATTTTTTTGGGTTTTTTGTGGACAATACAAAATGCCATTCAGACACTTCCAACAAAGTGTGGTAAATAATCAATTGCATAAGTTTACAATGACTCATGGTCGGATAGTGATGAAGACATATAAATAATTAAATAATAAAATTACATTTTATTGATCAACAAAATTACATTTTATTGATCCCCTGGGGGTCTTGATACATAGTACTGCACAATGTATGTCGCTTGATCTGGACAGTGCCCATGTGCATGACAAAACAGATGAATAAATGAATAAAATTCAGGTACTTTCAGAACCTGTCAGCCATCACATATTCAGTTTTTAGGTCCAAGTGGAATGGTGCATGTGCATGTCTTGACCTCTGATGACCCTTGTGGTTCAGGGGTTAAATTGAACCCAGGTTAAAGAACCATTGGAATAGGACAAGGAACTGAGGGCGATGTTCATTGAGAAGAAACTTTAGAAAACAAATTGGAATGCCTAATGATTCATTTATGTCATTATAGTTAACACAGATTTATCATTACACTCTAACTCTTTACCTCTGGCAAACTCGGGTGCATTCTTTTACAATGACTTCGACACCAAATTACTTTTCAGCAATTGCCGAAAACATGTCTCTTTTATCGGGAGTTTATTCATTAGATGAAGAACTATCAAAATAGGTCGACTTGTTTTGAATTCATGGCCTTTTTAAATTTAGTACCAAAACGGCCCCGGCGTAGTGGGTTTACCCCCACGGAGATAAAGAGTTGAAATAAATCTTCACAGGGGCTGCATGTCAACATCAGATTGATTCCACCTCACTGTCCATTGAGTCATATGCTTTTACGAGGGCGAGATTCTTTGCAAGACTACATTTTTTTTTTTTTTTCCTCTGTTGGATGTAATGGGCTCAGGTTATTTCAAACTGTCATTAAAAATTGTAGCACTTCGACAGGGGAATAATGACTTTAATCAAACTCTCTCAAGTATGATGTAGTAGAAATCTTGTAAATAAAAAGATCTTAGGTTCAATCATCTTTACAGACAATGGATTATCCATTCGCAATAGGTGGCTCTTCTTTCTTTTGTTGGCTCTTACTTCTTTTCTTACCCTCTGGCTTAAATTTGTGGGTGGTTGGCAGGTGCCCTGGTGTGGATTGATCAAACTTCTATTGTTGTTATCTCCCCTCCTTTTTTGTGTTTGTTACTTCCTTGTAACACTTCTAATCTTCGGCACTTGTATGACCTTGTGTTGCAAGTGCTGTAAAACTCTTACAAAAAAGAAAAAAAATTTCAATCAACACAATTATTTCAGTTTTTGTGCTTGGAAACAATAAAATATATTTGAAATTTCGGAGTTTAACAGGGATTACTAAATTATGGAGCCCTTTAAAGTCAACTTTAAGGTCATGAGAACATACATTGAAAAAAATGTACATATTTCCATGTTCAAATAATAGATCCATTACTATAGGGTTAGAAACTAATAATTGACGAGCTTATAAAAAACTCCATAAGAAACATAAACAATGATCCTGATTTACCACCACTGGGCCTAATGAGCGCTTTGTTTGACTGCCACCGTAAAGGTAAAGGGACAAATATTTTTTGCTGTTTATTTTTGTCAAATGTGCCTGTGAAACATGTGTCCAGTCTCGTTTAGAATAGTTTTAGTTATATTTTTTTTTTTGAATTGACACTTCTACTTGTTTGTAGGAATGGGATCAAAAGCCGGATCTATACGGAATCCGTAGATCAGGAAGGTCAAGAAGGGAAGTTGTTCGTTACAATGCTGGGGTAAGTGAACCTTCCCAAGTATCTTTTTATAAAGTTAGTGTATCTGACTTTTCTTATTCAACTCGCCCTACAAGTCCTTTTTTTTGCCACTTCTGTCTTTTTCATTTTCATACATATGCGGCCCCCCCCCTCTCCCTCTCTCTCTCTCTCTCTCTCTCTCTCTCTCTCTCTCTCTCTCTCTCTCTCTCTCTCTCTCTCTCTCTCCCTCTCTCTCTCTCCCTCTCTCTCTCTCCCTCTCTCTCTCTCTCTCTCTCTCTCTCTCTCTCTCTCTCTCTCTCTCTCTCTCTCTCTCTCTCTCTCTCTCTCTCTCTCTCTCTCGCACGCACGCGCACACACATTGTAAGATAGATATGTTATTTAAGTGAAAAGCATATTTCATTTATATTAAAGCATTATTTCATATCAATGATACATCCCTCATTGCTCTCAGCTTATAGGTGTCTTTTTTATGAAGGGAAGTTCCACAGTTTTAGTTCCGACAGTGTTTTACTTCGTTTTGAAGTGTGTTTGAATACATTTGAGCTCCCCAATTCAACTTTCCTATTCTACTCCTCAGCATATTTTATGTGAATAAATGAAATTACAAGTTTGGAGGGGGGGGGGGGGGGGGGTGTCAATGATTTCTTGAAATGTCTGAGCTTTTATCAGGTTCTAATTTGTACTGTTGTTTCTTTCCCTCCTACAGAATAATAGTGGTAGTGATAGTGACAGGAAAAAGAAACGATCAAGGAGAAGAGAGTGAGTATTTATTTGGATAAGGGGGGGGGGGGGGATTATTTATTTCGAATTCGATTTTTGTGACCATTTTGAAGTAATGGGAATTTCCTTTGGTTAGTTAAGAAAAGTTATGTGTCACTGTGTGGTGGAATCGGGCGCTCGTCAATTTTTGGGCATGTGGAGTTATTGGTATCATCTCAAAGCTTATTTATTTGCCTTGCTTTCTGTGAAAAAAATACCCACCCATCTTGAATAGAAGTCAAGATAATTACAATTGAAAGCGGTGCGGTCGCCTGGTTTCAGTGGTGAAACTGGCGAGAAAATGGCCGCCAAAGTTTGATAACTCTCAACTCACTCACTGCCATGCCCAAACCCTGTGGGGTGATCCGCGTAGACTGCTACCTGCCAAACTCGAAACCCGTCGGTGCGTTTTTACTATTATTTTTCAAACATTCCCCAACGTGTTTCGGGCTTGGCAGTCGGAAGTAGGCGACATAAGCCAGTTTAGTTTCGATTCCCCAGTGTTGCAGTAGCTTCCCTTGAATAAGTTACTTAAAAATCGGACTTTTTCGAACTCGACCGAAACAAACTAAATACTACTAACGCTCAGTTACGATGGCGACGACGTCTAAACGAAGTCGGAACATTTGAATTGGTGGACCCATTCGTCAATAAAGGGTCAGATTTAGATCTTTTTGCGGATGATAGTGATGATGAACCATCATACAGAATTGATGAGTATAGGGAAGGAAATAGGAGAGGTGCGGACACAAGTGAAGATGAAAATTTTGCTAGATCTAGGCCCAGATCTAGAATCAGGGGTTCCCGATGCTCAGACCAATGATCCGATGCTTCCCGGTCTTCAATGTCATTGTTTGTGGAAAAGTTCAATGCTGTACACAAAATAAGCTCACAGTGAGGTTTTGAAAATGGTCCCGAAAGCCTGGCATTCCTCAGTTACCCTGCCGAGAAATGCCTGGCAGTGAGTGAGTTAATAATAGCCAAAAAGTCCTTTAAAACAGAAAAATGACATTTTGTTCTTTTAATCGTGTTTCAGTAAAATTCACACGGAGTTGTGTTTTTGTATGGACATAAATGGGGTTAACCCTTAGAGCCTGAGAAACCCTCTGACCGGTCCGGAACTTTATCAATGTGAAGCCCGATACACCTTTTCACCGGTCTGGGAGTCACGGATCCAAGCGAGTCTGAGCCAGGCCCTTCTAGGCTTAAACGTGTGCAAAAAACTATTCTCTGGCAACTCTGATTAGTTTTTGTGTGGATATTTTGTTATTGTGTTTGATCTATTTGTTGTGACCCATGTGAAATTTCCTTTAAATGGTTGACGAGACCAGGCAGGGGGTATTCTAGGGTCAGCAAAGTGACGGCTCAAAGGGTTAAGCCAAAAAACAAAAATTCCATAACAATTGCCAAACTGGCAGAAAAATACCTGTTTATCCAATTCCGTTATTTTGACGAGCGCCTGATTTCACCATGGTGCCTCACATATCGTCATTTATGAGCGCATCTCCTGTTTATGAATGTTCATTGTCTTATATTGACTTTTATTTTGATTCAGAAGTTTCTGCTACTAATGTGTTGTTTGTTGTTGCAATATTGATAATTCAAAAGAGGGTTATATGGTGCATCATGTGAAAGGCGTCATACGTGTCTCTTCTAATCTGTGTAAGATGATTTTTTATTGTAATCTAACTCTACCCTTTGTTGTTTCTTCTTTTTTATGAAATTCCATTAACGAAACTGATTAAAAATTTTGCAGGTCTGAAGATTGGAAAAGTCAAGAAGATGAGGATAATAGTGAAGAAGCAAGCAGTGATAGTGAGGACTTTAGGCCTGCTAAGAGCAAGAGGTATGTTGAAATTTTGGAAAGTAAAGCTCTCGGCTAGTTAACATATTAACAGGACAGTTAAAGGTGAGGTAGCAATTGCGGCCCTATTTGAACTCTATTCACTTCTGAGGCCATGGTTTGTCTAGAACTTATTTTTGATAAATTAAAGCGATCTGTGTATGTTATCTCAAAGACGCTTTTTAAATAAGAATCAGGATATGGCAATTTCCATCACAAATTTCATTTTGGTGAATATGTTGAAGTTGATTAAATCAATATGTTTCAGGCATGCTTCTCAAACGGGATATTTTACAACTCTGATTGTCTTGTAGGTTTTTTAAAAAGATATGGCAAGAAAATGAAACTGAAAACAGATTGTCTCCAAATGTCAAATAATGGGTGTGGAAAATTTATGACATCAAAATGACATCAATCTTCTAGGTAGAACCAAAACAAAACAATTGTGCAAAGTCTTATATATGTAAAGTGTAAGTAATTCTGAGGAGGAGACGAACTTAAGATGAAATATGAGCGTAATATTATTGATTGGTAGAGGTTGGGTCGGGTTCCTACTTTTCTGGTTCAAGATATTTAATTATATCAACATTCTGAGATCTGAGAACACAAATATTTTTTCGAAATGTCATTTTATTTAACAATTGTCTTAGGGCGAAGCCTCCACCAAGACCAAAACGAAGTGCTCGGGCTGCTCCTAAGTCAAGGGGGCGGACCAAGAACTTGTCATCCTCTGAGTCTTCAGAAGATAGTGATTCGTACAGTAGGCCTGTCCCGCAAAGAAAAACTGCTCAGAAAGTCAGGTGAGGCTTCAAGGATATTTTGAAATCAATGGTATCATCATTACCATTTCATTTTGTCTTGATTTTATTTGCAACCTGTAGTTTTCATGAGTAGTTATTTTCTGCTATCAGTCCATTTTTTGCCGTCTTCTGAACGTTACTCTTGTTTCTTTTTTAACAAGTCTATTTTATAGAGTAAGGAAACATTGTGTCACTGCAGCATAGCATCGGCCAGCTGTTCAGATGGACTAAGTTCACATTTTTTATTTTAAAAAGAATGTTCTAGCGGTGTCTTTTATTTTTTGGTCACATTTGCATATACTTGTGAAATATTTAGTTGAAATTCAAAGTCTAAATGTTGAATTGTAAAAAAAAAAATTAAATCTCTCTTGAGAAATTCTCGGCTCAGAACATTTGAGCAGCTTGCTGTTGATAAAGCTTTTTGAAGTGCTAGGTTTGTAAAGAAATTCTTTGTTGCTTGATTGCACGGTGAAAGATTGCAAGTGGAGAGCGTACTGCTTTTTGATTACATGAAGTTTGAATGTGATCAGACCTTGGGTAAGTGAGGGTTTTCTCAGGTGGCATCATGGATACAGTTATTCAGGTACGGTTTGTGTCATACACTTTTCCCTTTTATTTTTAAACATAGGCACAAGTATCGCCCTACCAGGCACAAAGCTTCTAAAAAGGCTGTTAGGTAAGACTCTGGGCATTAGTATTGTTTGCAAGTTTGGTGTCTCGGGTTACAATTTTTGTACTGGAGTCCTCTTGTTGATTGTGGTGATGTCCTGGGTCAATGGTTGAGCTTGCTGTATTTTGAGTGAGATTAATTGCTAGTGTGGTATTGACTGTTGTCTAGAACTGGACAATTCCTCTGTTTGAAGTGCACAGTTTCCTTGTCTTGGTTTCAGTAAGCATCATAATCCTCTCGGCTGGATTCAAAATCAAATAATGTTTTTATATCTTAAGTGTCAGAAAATCAATTAAAGTAGTATCTAAATTATTTAACTTATAGACATAGCTTTTGAAATGCTGTGGAAGGAAAAACTGTCCCATTAATCAGTAATGAAAACAAGCAACTGCACGGGTCTGTATCGTATCAACTCAATTTCTGACAGTCATTGACAATGTAATGGTACCTCAAAGTCAAATTTGTTTTAAAGCATCTATAATATACTTTTACATATTTTCAAAGTTATAATAGACTAGAATTGAATTTTGTGTAATTTATTGACACATGGAAGTACAGCATTCTCATTTTTTTTTTCTTATTTGGTGGCAGGGGTGTTTTATGTTGGTTTGTGGGCTATCTTTTCTTTCTTCGTCTTTTCTCGGTGTTGGTACTGTTCTTATGTGCTTCCTGAAATTCAGCCAAGTGGTGTCAGTAGTACTGTTGTAGACCTGCATGTTTGCCGACAATTGCGGCCCGACCCGCGAGCCAGCCGATGCTATCGCTAGGCCCACCTGTGTTAGTCAATGTGCTAAGTGCGAGGCCTGGCCGACTGCTAGGGATGGGCAGGTACCGGTCCAAGTACCGGAACTCCGGGTTCTACCGAAGGAGGTGTCAGTACCGACACCTGGCCTCCAGTACCGGCTCTGGAAAGAAGCAGACACCAATAGTTAATACTGGCTCTGAGAAGGAGCCGATGCGACGGTTTATTTTTTTCTTAACGGGCCACGGGCAGTGTGTAGGCCTAGGCCTAGCAGCTGTGACGTCAGATGCACACAACGCAGCGGGTGACCTTGATACAGGACCTCAGATTCAAAATTGACAATCAAAAACGAAGTTTGCTTAAATTTATAATATGGCTTCCAATCAGGTTCCATGCGAGCCACTTTGCTTATTTTGATACGCTGATTCCGAAAATGAAATCAATTTTTTGCGGCGATAACTATTTTTAAAATTTTGCTTGCAAAGTTTAATCCCACGCGGCGGCAGACTTCAAAGGTATTTTGCGTCACACTTTAGTAAGAGTTGTATGGCACTTGCAGCACAAATCGCCTCTCCAATTTTGACTGGTGGGGGGGGGGGGGGGGGGGGCACTGATCGTGGCGTTAGACGCAGGACACAAAGTCTGTGACGTCACCTACTGGCGTCACTCCCAGTACCGGCGCCGGTACTGGCGGTTCTCGGTGCCGAGAAAGTACCGACAGTGGATTTCGCCGGTATCGCCCACCACTACCGACTGCCAGCGCCCCCTTTTTCTCCTGTTGGCTTTTCGGCACTTTCGTTTTCGTGCCCACCGCTGACGTCTGCGTTTCCGACATTGTCTGAACCTGAGTAGAAATACGAATACGAAAAAGGACGACAACCCAAATTACAGTCGAACCTGCCCTGATGGCCACTTCTATAAGACGGCCACCTGTACAAACGGCCACTTTCCATTTCCCCCCTTGCGTTTTTCCTATATAATTTAACTGTGTAAAACGGGCACCTGTCCAACGCGGCCGCGGCCACAAAAATTTAACACACAACCCCTATAATACTAAGCAATAATACCTGTCTAAGACGGTCACTTTAGTGAATCCATTACGTTTTGTCATAAATTGTGCATTGGCCCCTGGCGTTGTGGGCGAGCCGTCATAATTCAATCACCTGTCGTTGTTGTTGGGTAGTCCCTTCAACCGATCATGTTGCGTAGGCCCCTCCCACTGTTGACCAATAGCTACCAATTTTCAGCTGCAGGTGAGTTAGCGTGTGATCCCTCATAACCCATAAGCCCCGCCCAGAACTCATACACAAATCGAAAGTGAGATGAGTGGTTACTGTTTACCCGGTCTGTAACAAAGTAACAAAGGACGTCAACATGGACTTGTTACAGAAGCGTCCCTCGTTCTCCGAGTGGTGGCGACCCATGTGTTTGTTTTAACATGGCACTCGGTCTTCCTTGTCTGATACATTTCGTTTTATTGTCACCATTGTGCAAAATCAGCGACAAAATAAAGATTACAAACGAAATACAAACCAACAGCAACAACACCAACAAAGACAACAACAATGGGGCTACTTTCGATTGGGGCCTCAGATGGGAATGGTTTGTTTTTTTTATCTTGATCAGTCCTGCCTAAGACGGTCACCTGTCTTATGCGGCCATTTTTCTCCTTGACAATGGGTGGCCGTCTTACACAGGTTTGACTGTATCTACTTTCAGTTTCGTGCTCGAGCGGCCATTTTGAATTTCGTCTGTTGACTGATTGTTCAGATTATGTGGATTCATTCAAGTCCGACTCACTTGTTCTACTAGTCTAGATCTAAATTGAATATATTTTAGATTATTATAGACCTCAATGGAGGATTCATATTCCAATTCTACTGTGTCGAACACTATTATAGGTTGTGCTGTAATATTAGATTTAATGTTGGTAAAAGGCATTTCATCAGGTGTGTAAATTATTTAGAATCTAGACTCAGCTGAGTCCCTCTGTTCGGAATCGGATGCGGATTTCTCGTTCAAGATCTAGATCTAGATTTATTTAGATTATAATATGGAGTATTAAAATTGGCCCACATGCAGGTCTACTATTGTAGCCAAACTGAAAGAATTCACTTCACACGAAGGTTTCTTATTTTCTTTAATGGCCTATCCCCATGTAGCTGCAATCCAGCTGAATTCTGGTTTTCTGTCCACCTGTGATATGTACATTTTCGAGAGATCCAGATATGTGGTAAAATTATGCTTTAGTAAGAGTTGTTTGGCACTTGCAGCACAAGCACAATTAGGTCATATTAGTGCTGATGTTACAAGGTGTTACAAGAGAGTAATAAACACAGAAAGAGGAGAGATAAGGATGATAGATGTTTGATAGGAAAGGAGCAAACCACACCAGAGCGCCCGCCGAACACCCATGAAAAGTATGCAACTAGAACTTAACTCGATTTTGTAATGGTGAAAGAATTGATCAGTGGAGTAACATTGTACAGCATTGGATATTCGAGTGGCAAGATTATATATACATACATTTGTATGCTTTATATAGTAGATAATGGTTGTTTTGTTTTATAAGTCTTTGGATCATATGTTTCAAGTGTACTTAATTGGTGGCATTGGGTTATTCCTGACGTGAGTATGAAGCTGTATCTCTCCCACCCATCTCGGTTGTGCAGAACATAATGGTGGTGTTCAATGTCTTCTGTGACCATTTTTTGTTTTTGTGTAATAAAAATGTCACAGATCTTTTCATGGATCCTTTTTTCGTAGTAGTTTTTATTGACATCTGTGGTTTCTCGAAAATTATAGTAATTTTCTAGAAATTATAGTAATTTTCTTTTATTGATTCCTGTGGTAGTCATAAATGGGTATCGTACATGAGCGTGCTGATTTTTTGTTTATATGAATAGAAGCAGTCTATCAGTCTTCAAATATTAAGGAATGAATTTGGTTCCTTAGAAATATTCTTACGACCAATCCTCTACTTTCTGTTAAGTCTTTGTTATTTCTTTTAACTTCTTTTTAAATGTTCTTAGCTGCCTTCTTTCTGGTAACCTTTGGCCACCCTGATATGATAATCATTTTCTATTTTGTAGTTACAAAGAGGATACAGATGAAGCCACAGATTCTGACGACATCATTGAAGCTGCTACACCTGTTGCTGAGGTGGAAGAAGACAACAGGGAGACTATTGAGAAGGTCTTGGATGGTCGCAGAGGGAGAAAAGGAGGTAAGTGGTTAATTAGTGCGACCACTAACTGACCACTCCATTCATTTGTTATTTGTATGGTTTGGAGTTTTTATTTTGCATAATGGATAAACTCTACTTTTTTCTGTCAGTTTCAGTGTTATTTTACTTGGATATGGTTGCAGATTGTTTAGCTCTGATCACAGTTATGTTATTCTGAGAATAATATGAAGGATCTGTCATTTGATATTGGTCGCTGTTTTGGTATTTTTTGCCTTGTGTTGAGTTTGATCCATATCATTTCTTCATTTCTCTTAAGCCCAAGGGTAGTTATGAGTGTATAATGAGTTGATAAGTCTGCTTTTTAGAAGACATGGTGCAAAATGAAAATAATACAGGTTATGGTTACCCAGGTTAAAAGTGAAGGCACTGGAAACATGTTTAGGCCACTTTCTTGTTGCTATTTTTGTTTTGCTTCTAACATTAACACATCAGAACTTATTTGATTTACTATAACTTAATTGGGTTGGTTGTATAGAGATTGATGTGTATGCATCCAGTGATAGTCTACTGCGTTTTGAGGTCAGTGTCCTCAGTTTGTTCTCATGCCTGGGAAAATATTTGAAGCCCATAATGGATGTCTGCTACGATAATTTTTATTTTTTGGTATGGTTTTAGCGCATATGTCTCTTATTTTTAAAATGCCATTATTATTTCAGCTACAGGGCATAAGACAACCTTGTACAATGTCCGCGAGAACAGAGATCCAAATACAACCCCCTTGAAGGAAGGAGAGAAAGAGGAATTTGAGAAGCACTACCTCATCAAGTGGAAAGGATGGTCTCATATCCATAATACTTGGGAAGCAGAAGCTTCTCTAAGAGAGCAGAAAGTCAATGGCATGAAGAAGTTTGAAAACTTTTTGAAACGAGAAGAAGAAATTCGGGATTGGTTAGTTTTTTTCCCCATCCAAGTCTGTTGTTATGTGTATTATTGCCTTTAAAAAAAAATCGAGTCCTTTTTGTGTATTTTCTTTTAAAAAAATGAAAGCTGATGTACCCATTTATTACCACAGTACACTGCTCAGGGCTGAAATAATATTTCTCCAAGTGTTTACGTTTTAGCAATTCAGTCAGCGTTGGAGATTATTAAAGATGATCTCTTGAAGTTTTTATAGTTTGTTTCTGCGCTTTTCTTTAGTCAAGTTGTTACTCTCATATCTCATCATTGATTATTTGAGGACACTAGTACCTAAGAAAATACCTTTGTGATATTAATTTTTGGTAAACTTGAGCCTTTGTTGCCTGTTGTCTAGTACATTTTTGGTATGTAAAAAAACATTTTACTCTACAGGAAAGCATCAGCCTCTCCTGAAGATTGTGAATACTATGACTGTCAGCAGGAAATGATGCAGGATCTTATTGAGTCTCACAAGACTGTGGAAAGGATAATTGGTAAGGATCCTTGTCTATTTGTTTTCATTTAATGGTAGAAAATAATTTAGATAAATATTGTTTTACATTCAGGAAGTAAAAAAAAAGATGTAATTATTCACATTATATTTGTGGGGGGAGAGGGTGTTCTGAGAACTTTGTTCATTTTCTTAAAGCCACACATCAATATATCTTGGGTTCATGGGGCTTTATGTTTTGCTAAATTTTTGGAGTTATTAGATATAGTTTTTATGCTTATATATGCTTACAACCTGTTTTGGGACTTTTTCAGCTCACAGGAAAGAGAACAATGGCAATTCAGACTACTTGTGCAAGTGGCAAGGTCTGCCTTACTCTGATTGCACATGGGAGGATGGAGACCTGATCTCAAAACTTTTTCAGAGCCATATTGACAAGTACTTAGCTAGGAACAAGTCTCAGTGTATTCCTACCAAATTGAGCAGGGTAAGTTGTCTTTTCCAGTAAAATAATGCATTTCATTTATGACTCTAATAAGATAAATGAACACTTTCTTATCAGACTCCGGCTTTCATGTGGAAGATCTGAATGTTTTGTTTTTTTCTAAATGGCAGTGAACTTCAACAATTGTAATTTTAAAGACAAAGGCTATTTGATTCCCAGTCTTGACGTTTAGCTGATATGAATAAGTCCTAGAAATGGACAGAAATAGATATCACCCTGCTTGCTGTTGACTCCTGAATTACTTTGTTTCAAAATCGGAAAAATAAGTTAGTAAAGTTGCCAAAATTAGTATTGGATTGTGTCCCATCGTTAATACATCCAGATTTGGGTGTGATGAACAAGATCAAATGTGCCTTGGATTATTTCTGAATGTAGACACAGCATGTTAAACGTCAGTTCAACCCTAACATTTCATATTTGAATTCCTGCAGCCCTATTTGCTTCTAATCTGTCACTTGGTATTCTGCAGGTTCTGAAGGCTCGTCCAAAGTTTGTCCCATTGAAAAGTCAACCAGCGCATCTGGGAGGTTCTGATAATTTAGCACTCAGGGATTATCAGTTGGATGGTCTCAACTGGATGGTGCATTCTTGGTGCAAGTACGTTAAAGGCAAATTGTATCATGAAATTGAAAAATGATCACTGCTAAAGAATTTCTCAGTACCAGTTTTATTTTTTAATATATTTTTTTTATATACACTTTGAGGTACGTTGACGCACTCAGAGTAAGCATTTTATCAGAAAACAGTGTTTTTAATCATGTTGTGTTTGTAAGTTTGAAATTAAATTTAGATTTTAGGTGTTTGGCGGGTGCTCTGGTGTGGTGTGCTTCTTCTTTCCTATGAAACATCTATCGTCCTTATCTCACCTTCTTGTTTTTTATGTTTGTTACTCTTTTGTAACACCTCTAAATCTTTTGGCGCTCATATGACCTTATGCAGTTGCGAGCGTTGTAAAACCTCTACTAAAAAATATAGATTTACATTACCATGAATCGACTGGTGGTTAGGTCAGGGCTGATATGTTTACTTCTTCAATTCTTTTCAATATTTGAAACTGAAAACACTGTAAGGCCAGCACCTTTTCCCCTTATTGCCATGGAAAGAAGTGGGCCCCATCTAGTGCTAGACTACATTACTTTTGTAAAAGTTACTCAAGAAATGCCTGTTTTACTTTCTGTTTCACTTTCATTTGAATAGTGTTCTTAGAATAATTTTTTTAAACTTTTACTTTAGAAATGTTCTTAATCATTCCTTCCACACTCTTTTTGCATTTTAATTTTTCGTTTTATTTTTGTGCTTCTGTTTTAATTGGCTGAATAAGGTTTTTTATTTAATTATTCTTTACATTTTGATTTGCCTACTTTGTTTTTGGATGTTAACTCATATTTCATGTTATAGAGATAAATTCAAACAACAATGTCCTTTTATTTCTTCTAAATTCAGGGAAAACTCTGTGATACTGGCAGACGAAATGGGCCTTGGCAAGACCATTCAGATAATTAGCTTCATCTCTCATATGTACAACCAGTACCAGCTGTATGGGCCTTTCTTACTTGTGGTCCCCTTGTCCACAGTGGTGGCCTGGCAGAGAGAGTTCGATAAGTGGGCTCCAGAGATGAATGTGATTATCTACATGGGAGACGTCGGTAGTCGATCAATGGTATATGTTTTTGGCTTCATTGTCCGAGCATAGTTTTATTATAGTGATACAAGAATATTGTTTTTGAAAGGGCTTTGGTTGTCATGCTGATGAGTTTGGAAAATGAATTGTATTTCTGTAGCCTGTCATGGAGTCTTCACCTGGTGTGTCCAAGAATAAAAATAATAAAGAACCTGACAGGCTACAGAAAACAATTCATTTTCCAAACTCATAAGCATGACAAACCAAAGCCCTTTCAAAAACAATATTCTTGTATCACTATAATCAGCTGTAGATTTAATGTTTAACCAAATTTTAGAACACTAAAACATATTTTGTCATTTTCATATCTAAGTGGTTGGACAAATATGGATTTTGATTTAAGATATAGAATCACTGAGTGCTCATGGGAATATCGTAGCTCAAAAGGGTTTTTCTATTGCTGAACACTGATAAGGAGTTATTTTATTTAGTAGTCTTTTTATGCAAATGATTTTGTTTTTGTGTGTAAGTGTGAATATATATTTTATTGATGTAGGTAGTGTTCTTGTCTGTCACTGTCATTCCATGAAGTTTTTCTATGAGTCCTGTTAACACTTTTTGTGAATGGTGTTTCAAAATATTTTTCAGTTGCGGGAACAGGAGTGGAGGCATCCAGGAAACAAACGTTTGAAGTTCAATGCACTCATTACTACTTATGAAATACTGCTCAAAGATAAGGTTTGTATGCTGAACAAAATATCAGTTGCCAGTAGCAGGGCTCCCCATTACGCACAGATGTGCATGTATTACCCATTAAACCTGCATATTACCCCCCTTTAAGTTTTGGTGGTGCGTGAGCATTGCTTTTTAAAATTTCGTTTCGGGGGTTTGCATACGCTTTAAAATGTAGGTGATGTGCGTCTTTCAAGCATCATTTCTCCCCTTCTCTATCCTGAAGCCGAGTCATTGATTTGACAACACATACACAGGGGGTTCGTACAGGTCTTGGAAAACTGGAAAACTCTTGGAATTTTGTTATATTCCAAGATTCTTGGAATCTGCAGAAGTCTTGAAAAAAAAACAAACAACAAATTTTTTACTACATCTATTGTAGAAATATTCCTCGAAGTTTAGAAGGCCTCGACTTAATGCATTCTGAAGTGTACCATAATCTGGTCTTGAAAGGTCTTTGGGGAAAAAAGTATCCTGCTCAGTATGAGCATTGTACAGGGCAGTCACCTTTTGTCTGTGTCAGAAATACAGCACTTTTTAGTTCACTGACCACCAAGGCTGTTAACAACAAACTGATTATTTGGCATGAAAGCAAGCATGAGGCATTTTCATTTGATGAAAAGGAAGTGATCCAGGATGCTTGAGATTTTCACGAGGGGAAAAAAATCGAAAGTCTGGAAAGACTGGGATGGCTCTGAAGAATAATGAATCAGTTTTTTTTCTTTTTGTATAACAGTCGAAATTGACCCGTTTTGGTTTGTCAACTTCATTTTATTTTTGATTGGCCCAACCACCACCATCCTTCACCCCTCCCTCCAAATGGACACAACTCTAATTCTAGTCAATATTTCTCATTTATTTCTTGTTGTTACAATGAAACCTTACAGTTAATTAAAAATCGTTAGCACTCAATCACGGTCACTCTGTGTGTGTCTATAAATGTGCGTGTGAGTTACAAGTTTACATGCAAAAATTCTTAGTATAAAATTAAGAGATAATTGATTTTTGAGGATTAGTTTGTCAGAAATGAACCAATAAACCAACAACCGGTCAACCCTTTTTCTAAAACAAGGGTTTAAATACCCCTTGAGATAAAAAAAACAAATGATGAAGGAACCTCTTTTAGTTGGCCTGAAAAGAGGAACTCTGCAGTAGTACAATAGTTCTATGGTGATGTTATTCTATGTTGTGACATACATCCATAAATAAGTGCTATCTTGTACTTTAGGTAGGCAGGGGTCTCAGTACACTGCTTTACTCACAAGCCTCTTAAATGCTGCAAGCTGTTTTGGGGGGAGTGGTGAGCATGTTTTATGCAGACATTTGATATTATGTACTGAAGGACTGAACATGGTAAATGGCCAGTCTGACAAATTCATTGTCGATGGTAATTACATCTTTCTTTGTCCCATTTTGTCCTGATCCAGTCTTTCCTTGGGGCTGAGTCGTGGGCCTTCCTTGGTGTTGATGAAGCCCACAGATTGAAAAATGATGACTCTTTGCTGTATCGATCTCTTGAGGGCTTTGACACTAATCATAGGATCCTCATCACTGGAACTCCATTACAGAACTCTCTGAAAGAGTTATGGTCACTGCTACATTTCATCATGCCTTCAAAGTAAGTTTATGTCTTTTGTAGATATAAGGGTAGGACATATATAGACTTTGTCTTATACTGATTATCAGCATTTTGTGGGTAGATTCAAGCTGTCTTGTTTTGGTCTGGTGCCCATGTCATGTTTGCTGCCTTTGATTGGTATTGAGCTTCGTCTTGTGTACTGTGTGTGTAATGATCTGAGAGAGACAGAGAGAGAAAATGTATTATGAAGTATTAGATTTTGTTTTCATAAGTTCTCTATTCATTTTGTATCCATATTCTTCTTGACCATGTAAAGATCAAAATTTCATAAGAGAACATTACACTGATCAACTGTGTTTTGTTACAGTGCTCCTTATGCATAACTAATTCCAATCATGCATTCATTGCCATCATTGTCAGTATCTTGTTATCATTATCTTCTTATGAATAGCCTTGTGTCACATAAAAATGCTGGTCATCTTGTAGTCACATGGATTAATGTATCTCAATAATCTCTCTCTAGGTTTGATAGCTGGCCTGATTTTGAAGCAAAACATTCAAAGGAGGAAGGGAAAGGGTTTATTTCTTTGCACAAACAGCTTGAGCCTTACCTATTGAGGAGAGTGAAAAAAGATGTCGAAAAGTCATTGCCTGCAAAGACTGAAAGAATTCTGCGTGTTGAGCTTTCTTCATTACAGAAAACATATTACAAGTGAGTGTTTCTCTGAAATCTGGTGTAGTAGAATATCCTTGGCATTGCCTTCTTTTAAGACTTTAGCGAACTCTACTATTTTCCAGAAACAGAAATTGTTGTTTTTGCCATTTTTTGTTGTTTTGTGCTTTTTTTTGTAGGATTCATAGCCCCCAAAGCATTTCGGAAGTTTAATATTTTATTTTATTTTTTATTGATAGCTTCTTTCTAGTTCTGTACATGTAGGAATGAAATTTTGTTACCTCATGGTGAGTCACAGATATTGTGATTTATTAGTCTTGTGCACTAAAATATTCTGAGTACCATTTGATATTGGCTCTATTATCCCCTTTTGGTCAATGTCTTTACAACCATATTTTAAGAAAAATAACAATTTGCAGTTATTCATTGTTTCAGCTAGTACCCTTTAACTCTTCAAGTATTGCGATGAAATTTTGTGCTTGGTTTTGCAAACTTATTTAATATTGGTTTGTGTCATGGAATTCATTTTCATTTACTATTTTTAACTAGGGCTATTCTCAAAAGAGAGTTCAGAACCCTGATGAAAGGCATGCGTGGGAATGTGTCATCGTATGCAAACATTATGATGGAACTGAAGAAATGTGCCAATCATGCCCATTTGGTTGTACCTTTGGAGGAAGAGCCAGCACTAAAAGAGAGACTTCAGGTATGTGGTACTTGCTTGTGCCTTGAAAAAAAAGGGTGGTCACAAAATTGTTCAGTCATTCTCTCCTAAATATAGTAATGTGCATAGTTTACTCTGGGTGTGAGAAGATTACAATGAAGAAAGCTCATGCTTTAACCCAGCTCGCTTTGAGTCTTTACAGACGTTGAAGAACAACTTGTCTGAGTAATCTTTTCTCTGCCTCTTGTATTGTAAGTGAAATTCTTGTTGGATGAGAATTTTTTTTTTTTTTTAACTTGGGCGAAAAAAATAGTAGCAGTAAGGTGCAGGTAAAATGCACAGAGACTGCTTCATAATTTGAAAATTCCAGTGTATTGATTCTTGGATCAGTATACATAATGTAACAACCCTATCATTCCATAAATGGCACTATTTATGGTTTAAAAAAATTTGAAGAATAGCAGAACAGGATAATAGTGAAAATTATTTTTGTCTGGGGATTCTTTTTCTATGTAGGGCTATAAGTTTCGAACAAAAAAACAATTATTGTGGTATCCAATGTAAGTATTTTCTTACTGTCCATTTTGCACTTCTCAGACTTTGCTGAAAGGAAGTGGCAAGCTATTGCTGTTGGACAAGCTGTTGGTTAGACTGAAAGAAACAGGGCACAGAGTCCTGATATTCTCACAGATGGTCCGCATGCTGGACATTGTTGCAGACTATTTGCAGTGCAGGCACTTCAATTATCAGGTGAGTTTTGGAGGAATTAAGTTCAACTTTCAAGCGTTTGCTTCTGCACCCATTTTGGAGGGGAATGTTACTGACCAGTTACCACATGTTTTAAATGTTTAGTCATATGTTTGTGAGAAACTGGAGCTCTGGGTGCTTGTGGTAATTCTACTCTTTGTGTGATTTAACGGGAGGAGCTACCCTTGAGGACCTTTTTCTATGTTTGTTGCCCGAGATCAAATCTAAGTACACATATAAGTTAGACATAGTAAAATCTCATTATATGTAATTTTATGTTAGCTACAGCGGTTGCTATGGAAATGACTGCCATCTTGAAAATGAACAATTAATTTCAAATCCCTACGGCTTTCTTATTTACAGACCAAATTTGACCATTTCGTGAAAGTATACCTGAACTAGACCCTATCAGCATAACAGCGAGTTTTTTCAATATGCAAAAGAAAAAAAATATGAGAATTTTTTCCAAAGTACAACTTGTTTTTAAAAAAAAATTTTGGTTGCGTAGTCGCTTGCCAATGGAAAAGTATTAATTTTTTTTAGCAAATATCTCTCTGTTACATTGATCACAGCCTTGCCATCTACGTTTCCTGGAAGATTCATGTCAAAAGGGTGAAAAACTAAGGGAGTAGGGAAAAAACTGCAAAAATGTTAAATTTTGCGAAAACCAACAATAATTGTGAAATTCACTTTATTAATAAATCCTCATGTTTTCAAAGGCAATTTGCCAGGAGAATAAAGACTTTCTCAATTGTATAAATGCTATTTTTAGATTAAAAAACTGCCTGATCTTAAAAAATCAGCCAACATAAAATTTGCGTAGCCTGACCCAAAATCTTCAAAATCAAGGGTGGCTCCTTCCCCTAAGGGTGTGGCAAACTTAAGATTGACTCTTGCTTTTTGTTTTCCTATTTAAATTTCCAGTATGCTGTTCCATGCCTCAGAGACAAAAGATACAAATAAAACCCTGCATTTCATGATTGAATGCATAAAGTGAGCCTCTGTGTGGAGTGTATATAATGTTTTATTTTCTCTCTTGTCCTGCTGTGCAGAGATTGGATGGTACTATTCGTGGGGATCTCAGAAAGCAAGCATTGGATCACTTCAATGCTGAGGGATCGCAGGTGAGATGCCAGTTCTCTTTTGTAGTGCTACCATTTTCTGACAGTTGATGGTAAAGATAGAATATGTCATTGAATGCTTTCATTATGTCTTTGGGTGTCTATGATCATCTTAATTTTCATCTGGCAATTGTAAAATTCTCTGCACTCCCTAGACTTGTGTGAGAGCTTGATATTGTGTTGTTATAATATTGCTTTTCACCATTGCATAAAAAAGTAAAAAGTTGTGTTATTTTGATTCCTGCTTGGAGAAGTAATTTTATTGAGTACTTTGATCTGTTTTGATGCATCATGTCTCCTAAATTCTGAAAATCATGTGGATGGAGGCGTTAATCATAAATCAGGAGTGATGGGTGGTTTTTGGCCCTTTCGTGTGGTTTGCTCCTTCTTTCCTATCAATGTACGTTACTCTCTAGATACACCTCTAATCTTCTGCCCTTATATGACCTATTTGTGTCGGAAGTGCTGTAAAATTCGTACTAGGAAACAAACCAAATCAGAAATGGGGAGTCTCCCTTCCTGTATGCAGATTTTTTACTCTCAAATAAAAATCTATCTCAACACATTGAAGGTAAAAAGAAGGGTATTAACTGTTTAGTGTATCAGAAAGCTCAAATTATGCACTATGCTATTTTCATTACTTGACTTAAGTTTGCCATGAAATAAATTATTACTTGAATAACCTTTGACTGATTTTTTTTTCTTTGCAGGACTTCTGTTTCCTCTTGTCTACTCGTGCTGGAGGGTTGGGAGTGAACTTGGCTACTGCAGATACTGTCATAATCTTTGATAGTGACTGGAATCCTCAAAATGACTTGCAAGCTCAGGCCAGAGCTCATAGGATTGGGCAGACGAAGCAGGTATAGTCAGATAATTGTTTCTTTATGAAGATTATTAATGCTTTTGTAAAGGATTATTAATGCTTTTGTAAGCATAGTACCACTTTATACCTTGGGATTGATTTACAGAAAGAAGTGAATTAACAAATAATTGGACTAATGGTGTTCTTACTTTGCAGTTTAATTGTGATGGGAGTGTGTATTTGACTGCTTGAATTCTCTCTGAACAGGTCAGTGTGTACAGGCTTGTGACCAGTTCTACTGTGGAAGAAAAAATTGTGGAGAGTGCAAAAAAGAAAATGGTTCTGGACCATTTAGTCATTCAGAGAATGGACACAACTGGGCGCACAGTACTAGACCGAGGTTCTGCCCCATCAAGGTAAGTTAAAATGGCAGAATATCCAGTAGTCTTATGTTTCTAGGTTGATACAGTGTTCAGTCCATTGAGGAAATGCAACTGAAGAATGAAGAGGCTGTAATAGGTTTTCCATGTGTGAATATTTTTTGGGGATAACTTTCTAGCCTTCAGGGTTGGGTTGACTTCAAATGTTGGTCAACAGGAGACGACTTGCTTGTAATTTTCTTCAGTTTGGAATCCTTTACCCTATGCATAGTTTGGTGCAGTATTATTCCCTTCTGTTTAGATAATGTTAACTGTCAGTCAGCTTACAAATGTTTTTGTGATACAACTGAATACATGTTTATTAAATCAGATGCAAAGGTCCATTGTTTACTGAAAAAGTCTTTGCAGGATGACAAACTTTGATTCAGAGAAAAAAACTGGAACGACTTTGATGAAAAATATGGCAGTCTAAATGTACGTATACTTTTACATAATGTCAGATATTGTCATTTTCTGCTTTGGGCTTTCCCAGCAGTGCTACGCCATTTAGCAAAGATGAACTTTGTGCCATATTGAAGTTTGGAGCGGAGGAACTTTTCAAGGGAACAGAGAATGAAGATGAAGAGGAGCAGCAGGTAATTATAGTTTTTAGTCTTTCAGCCACACCCCTGATCTTCTGGTAGGAAAGATCTACACGTAGCCTTCTCGGACAAGGGCGAAAAATCTCGGAGGGCCCGTGTGCAAGTTGCGCACGTTAAAGATCCCTTGGTGGTCTAAAATCGATAAGAGTAGGCTTCGGCTGCCACTCGGGCAAAATTCAAATTTCCTACCAATTGAAAATATTAGGTGTGTCCGGCGCGCTCATATGACCTTATGCAGTTGTGAGCGCTGTAAAACACTTTACAAAAAAAAAACAAATAGTTTTTACATCCTGCTTTTTTAAAAGATTGCTATTTTGTTTAAAAAATAGGAATTGGATTAGAGATAATGATACCCCTGTTTAAATTTATTGAGAAGGAAATGAGACATGATAGTTGGTTCAGTTTGTAAAGTATTATGAAAAGTGAAATTCAGTGCTTGGAAAATGTTTAGATATTTTACACATTCACAATGTATTGTTTGATTAGAGGGGAATAATTCAGGTGTGGACAGCCAATATACTACATGAGGAGCCAGTCAATTGAGATGTGAAATTCAAGTTTATAAGCTTATTAATTAATTGGGGTAAAAAAATGTTAATAGTCAAGGTAATCTGTACCATGTAGCATGCTAGCAGAGAATAATATTGACTATGCCATTCTTTGGTGTTTTTTTTCAGGTTGACATCGATGATATTTTGAACAGAGCTGAAGAGCATGAAACAGAAGCCCATGGTGTAGGGGATGAACTTCTATCTCAGTTCAAGGTGGCTAGTTTTGGCAACTTAGAGGAAGAGGCAGAGACGTCCAGGGCAAGCTTTGGTGAAGAAGGTAAGTACTTGCTTTGAATTGTTACGGATCTGCTGTAAAGGGGTTATTAATCTTCTCAAGGTGATAACAGGACTGTTCTTTCTAGTAAAATAATGCTGGCGATAGTAATAGTCCTGTAACGTTTCATACTGCTTGCATTCTTGGAGTTGTCAGTATTTGCATCGAATGTCAGAAGAGTTTTGATATGGTTGTGTGTGCCGAAATTGCTGTAGTATCCTCTATGTAATCTATTGCGACCGAGGTGCTTTCTTGTCGTATCTCCATTTTTTTCAAAAGAGTGAAAATGTGACTTCTCAACACTTTCCCTACGTAGCCCCCAGCTCATTGGATATTCCCTCTATACACAACTAAAATAATAGTGTATTCCCTAAAATCGTGTTTTGTGGGCACTATGTGTGACTTTAAGATGTAACTTGATTGTTCATCTCTTCTGGAAAAATATCTTTATGCTGTAAGATTGTTTTCTTCCAACATTGATGTAATTCCCAAATTCATTCTATATGTCGGTTGTGTGTGTGTGGGTCAGCTCCTTTCTAAGGATGCATTTGGTTAGTATTAACCTGGTTTCGTGTTTCTCTGTGTTCCTGTAGAAGAAAAAGATTGGGAGGACATAATCCCTGAAGATGTGAGACAGAAGATGGAAGAGGAAGAGAGGCAGCAACAGCTTCTTGATCTTGAGCTGGGGCCTCGGAACCGAAAGACTATCAAACAGGTGTGTGTGTGTGTTTGTATTGTCTAGTTGTTGTCAACTTGATGTTTTGTTTTTATATGTGAAAATGGCAGTGTTCCTTGATTGATTGTAGTCACATAAGATTGGGATGGGAAATTTTCTTCCAGTTGTTGGGCTGGTGTGTAGCTTTTGTCTGGTTTGTTTGTTTTCACAGCTGCAGGTTGATTATGACTCTGACAAAGATAAAAAGAAGAGGAAGGGGAAAAAGGAGTCTGACTCTGATGCTAGTGATGAGGAGGATGACGATGATGATGATGATCAACCTAAGAAAAGAGGAAGACCAAAGGGTGCATCTAAAGATGGTATTCGGGGTTTTTCAAATGCTGAAATCCGCCGATTTGTCCGCAGCTACAAGAAGTTTGCAGCACCACTTAAAAGGTAATATATCCTGATCTTGTTTTATTGCATATAGTGAAAGAGTGGGCTTGTGTTGGATACACATGTGTATGGAAAAGCTGTATAGATATACACGGAGTGTAAAAGCTAAGCTTCGTAAGTCTATAAAGTGCATTTCCTTAGAAATAAATTACTTTTGAATCAAATGTGTCTGAAATTGTACATTGTCCAGGCGGGTTGTATGAGGTATGAAAAGCAGAAAACTTAAAAGTAAAAATTACTTTCAAGGAATTCTGTCCCACTAAAATAACATGCATTGTTTCCACTGTACATGAGAAGATTACTATGAAGAAAGCTCATGCTTTAACCCAGCTCGCTTTGAGTCTTTGTAGACGTTGAAGAACGACGAATCTGAGTAATCTTTTCTACAATGTCAGTACTATGATTAATGGTAGTGTTTGTCAAAGAAAGATAATTATTTTAAGTAAATGTCCCTATCGTATGATGTAAAAGTCCTTTTAGAAGTTTCAGGTTTCCTTCTTTTAGACCAGGGGTAACATTTCAATACTTTTGATTTGAAAAAATCTTTTAGCCTTACAGGCCTGAACGCACGCTACCTTTGCTCTTTTGTGCGCTGAATGCATGCCTCAGCGTGAAAAGTGGCGTAAATCTAGGGCTTTTCTATCAGGAGCTCAGTGTCGAAGGCCCTGTCTGCCCTTGGGGGTTAGGATGCAAGGGTTGAGCTAGCAGAGTATGTCGGTACAGCCTTAAGGCGGTGTGCTTAGGGTCAAGGAAAGGCACAAGTGTTAAACAAATAGTCTGATTTGAACTAGTTCAGTTGATTGTGTAGTTTCCAACGCCTTTTCCCTTGAAAAACATTTGAGAACCAAGTGTATCAAATGTAATTCAGTCAAGGAAAGTCAAATGACATAAATGAATGCGTTTTATGTTTTCTTATTAACTTTTCCGAAGATTACCATGAAGAAAGCTCATGCTTTAACCCAGCTCGCTTTGAGTCTTTAGACGTTGAAGAACGACAAATCTGAGTAATCTTTTCTACAATATGTCAGTACTTAGTTCAGTACTATGATTAATGGTAGTGTTTGTTTGTCAAAGAAAGATAATTATTTTAAGCACATGTCCCTGTCGTATCATGTAAAAGTCTTTTGAAGAAGTTTCAGGTTTCCTTTTTTAAGAGTTGGGTAACATTTCAATACTTATCTTTGAGCCTTGCAGGCCTTTATGCACACTACCCTTTCTCTTTTGTGCGCTGAATGCATGCCCCAGCGTGAAGAGTGGCGTAAATCTAGGGCTTTTCTATCAGGAGCTCAGTATCGAAGGCCCTGTCCCCCCTTGGGGGTTAGGATGCAAGGGTTGAGCTAGCAGAGTATGTCGGTACAACCTTAAGGCGGCGTGCTTAGGGTCAAGGAAAGGCACAAGTGTTAAACTATATAAACAAATAGTCTGATTTTATCTAGTTCAGTTGATGGTGTAGTTTCCAACACCTTTTCCCTTGAAAAACATTCGAGAACCAAGTGTATCAAATATAATTCAGTCAAGGAAAGTCAAATGACATAAATGAATGCGTTTTATGTTTTCTTATTAACTTTTCCGAAGATTACCATGAAGAAAGCTCATGCTTTAACCCAGCTCGCTTTGAGTCTTTAGACGTTGAAGAACGACGAATCTGAGTAATCTTTTCTACAATATGTTAGTACTATGATTAATGGTAGTGTTTGTCAAAGAAAGATAATTATTTTAAGTACATGTCCCTGTCGTATCATGTAAAAGTCTTTTGAAGAAGTTTCGGGTTTCCTTCTTTTAGACCAGGGGTAACATTTCAATACTTTTGATTTGAAAAAATCTTTGAGCCTTACAGGCCTTTATGCACACTACGTTTTCTCTTTTGTGCCCTGAATGCATGCTTCAGCGTGAAAAGTGGCGTAAATCTAGGGCTTTTCTATCAGGAGCTCAGTGTCGAAGGCCCTATCCGCCCTTGGGGGTTAAGGTGCGAGGGTTGAGCTAGCAGAGTATGTCGGTACAACCTTAAGGTAGCGTGCTTAGGGTCAAGGAAAGGCGCAAGTGTTAAACTAAACAAATAGTCTGATTTGATCTTCTTCTGTTGATTGTGTAGTTTCCAACACCTTTTCCTTTGAAACATTCAAGAACCAAGTGTATCAAATATCATTTAGTCAAGGAAAGTCGAATGACATGAATGAAGGAGCGTTTCATGTTTTCTTATTAACTTTTCAGAAGATTACAATGAAGAAAGCTCTTGCTTTAACCCAGCTCGCTTTGAGTCCTAGAAGACTTTGAAGAATGATATATCTGAGTAATCTTTTCTTTTGTTTCGTCATCAACCAGTGCAATGAGAAAGATAACAAAACTTAGAGAATAAAAATAACTTTTTGTTGTGGTACACCTCTTCCATGTTGAGCTTGCTTCCTCTTTCTTGTTTATTCACACTATAGTTGAAGAAAGCAAGGTTGATATTAATGGACATTTTATTGTTCATACCTCTCACTCAGGCTCAAATATAAGCAGGAAGTGAATGAAGCCGTTTCATGAACATAGATCGGATGCATGATCCGTATTTGTATATGTTAGATTAGTTATGGGGCCATGAAATGCTTTCTGTGTTTAGTGGCTCTTAGACCCAATGGAAGTAGCACCAAATGAAATCGTTTCAAGGCTCAAAAGTGTGAAAAAGCCATTTGGATAAAGGATGGCCGTTCTTACATACTAAGAGACAGTTTAATTTTGTATGTTTAGTGTCTTATGGAAAGATTACAATGAAGAAAGCTTTTGCTTTAACCCAGCTCGCTTTGAGTCTCTTTAGACTTTGAAGAATGATTTTTCTGAGTAATCTTATGTAGTTTTGTTGTCTGCCAGGAGAAATATTGTTATAGGAAAACTAAGAATTTGGTTTTGGGCAACTGTTAACTCTTTGAAGACGCGCCCACTTGCCCCTCTCGATATCCTGTGACGCACCTTCTTTGCCCTTTTTTAACCAGGTCACAATTTTTTTTTCTTATCAACAGTACATAAATCACTTACACCAGTAACATGTACAATTTCTGTTTTTCTCTAATACCAGTCTTACCTCAATGAAGGCTGCAAGATAAATAGTTGCCCTCAACAGAAATTTTTTTTGGACCAGATGAGACTTGGAGGGGTCAGGTAGATCTAGATCTACCAACCAATAGTACAGATTCATCATCATTATCATCTGAACTTTCTTCTTTTTACCACTGCCATCATCCATAAACAACTCTAAAGCTTCTTCAGTCCGCATCAAAACATGTCGCCTGGAGATCGCCATTTTGTATTAAAAGAACTGCGACATTTCGACTGATACAATTGACCTAAAACAAAGGCCATGCAAAGCTATCCAATTCGAAAGCGAATAAAGAAAATCAAATTATAGGGCTTTGGACGAGCTTTTCAATGATATAGGGGTTGTCCACCTTAGACAAATAGTTCAGCAAATAAACACAGCGATAACGGTGGGTTCTCCTGTCAGTGGTTTCTTCAAAGAGTTAAATTTGTTAAAGATATGAAACAATCCACTTCACATGGTCACCTCATAATTGCATGTATACTGCAGTGGCTCAGTGCAGTAGTGCATGTTGCAGTGTCACGTATACTTAAATGAACAAATGATTATGTCCTATGGGTGTCCAAGAGTGTATGTGATGTTAGTGTTTGATAGTCCTAGTACACTGGTTTTGTGTTGGTCAGTGAAGGTATGGCAAAGTGCCATGTTTTTGTGGGTTTTTCAGTCCCAAAGTTTAATCTGTGTGACACTGACCTTCCACTTCACAATGCAACCTCTCCATGGCCTGGCCGTAATCCCAAACAAAACGTTTTTGAAGATCATATGTTTTCTTAGTATTTGTTATCAGTTCCACATTGAGCCATTGTTTCAACTTGAAAATTTTCACTAGAACATGTGACATGAACAGGAGACCTTAACAAGTGCAATGTTTGGCAATGAAACTATGGTGCTTTTCACTTTTTGTTTGTTTTTGATTTAATCCCCAAGTTAGATCCTCTTTTCTGAATAGTGCAGTTTTAGAGATATTTAGCTGACCAGAAAGTTGCTCAAGTGTTCCTGAAAATCTCTCTCATATGGTTAAATTAAATTTTACACTGCTTGTCAGAAGATTACAATGAAGAAAGCTTTTGCTTTAACCCAGCTCGCTTTGAGTCTCTGTAGACTTTGAAGAACAACCATTCTGAGTAATCTTTTGTACTGTATTATTTGCCTATGATATAAAAATAGATTTTTCTTCTTTGAAATAATGTATTTGATGTAATATTTATGGTATGAACGTGGGGGCAGTACCATAAGAACAGTGCTGTTGCACATATGACCCTCCTCCCAACATGGTTATTATGCACTCCTGATAAGGTGGAAAGAAAGCACACCTTTCATTTTTTATTAGTATCTTACATTAATGATGAGTGCAAATAGTACTGCTACCTAAGGAAAATTTCTAGGTCCATGAGTAACTGATAGGGTTTTTTTGGGGCTCCCCCCTCCCCCCTCATCACCAAATTAAACTTTTGTGAAGCATCATATAAAAAAAAGTAGAAACGGTAATAATCCTTTCCCCTTTTCTGACCAAAACATTTCCAAGTGTCTGCTATGAGGAACTAAGTATTGGATGTGGAAAGTAATCTCCTCTCTGAATGCTGTTTCAGCTTTGTCTGAGTAGACATTCAACTACTGTAATATACTGCTCATGTTAACTGTAATTTATATCTTCCAAAAAGTTAACTTAAGCTTGTGTACAAACCAGGCGTTGACTGTAAGATTAAAGAGCTGAAAAAAAAAGGATGTTTACCAATGTACAAACTGTCCTTAATGATGGCTTGGACAAACGGAAACAATTGGCGTTTTGCAGAAACTGTAGCATTGTTAAGTTCCTTGTGTTTTTAATTATCAACTTTGGATTCCTGTTAAGCTTGTGTCTTTAATGAAAGATTACAGTGAAGAAGTTCATGCTTTAACCCAGCTCTCTGAGTCTTTAGACTTTGAAGAATGTTAGGTCTGAGTACTCTTTCATTATTTGTTTATTTTAGAGAGAGACACCCCCGTTTATTTAAAAAAAAAATGTATATATTTTAGTTTCAATGCGCTCAGACTGTTGTGTTTTGTTATTTTGTGATCTTCTAGCAGGGAAATGGGATGGAGGTTTATTTTAACTGTTACCTTTGATTCTTTGCCAGATCACAGTGAAAAATTGATTAGCCGTTGTAGATTATGTTCTCTTGATTTGGGGGAAAGAAAGCACACCATTCACTTTGGATTCGGGGGATTAAAAAGCACTAGCTTTTTTTGCAACCACATTTAGTATTTTTCACTAATGAAGAGTTCAAAGAGTATAGCTACCTACGGAACATTTCTAGGTCCTTGAGTAATTGGTAGGTTTGGGGTTTTTTTTGTGCCCCTCCTCCCCATAGTAAATTAGCTAGCCTCATATAAAAAGTAGAGAATACTCATCTAGGTAATCCCTTCCATCTTTTGTGACCAAAACAATATTTCCAAGTGTCTGCAATGATGAACCAAATGATGGATGTGGAAAGTTATTTCCTCTATGAATGCTGTTTCAGCTTTGTCTGAGTAGACATTTAGTTACTGTAAGATGCTGCTCATGTTAACTGAAATTTATATCTTCCAAAAAGTGAAGCTTGTGTTTATACCAGACGTTAACCATAAGATTAAAGAACTGGAAAAAGGATCAACATGTTTACCAATGTACATACTGTCCTTAGTGATGGTATGGACAAACGGAAACAATTGGCGTTTTGCAGAAACTGTAGCATTGTTAAGTTCCTGGTGTTTTTAATGATCAACTTTGGATTCCTGTTAAGCTTGTATTTTAAATGAAAGATTACAGTGAAGAAGTTCATGCTTTAACCCAGCTCTCTGAGTCTTTAGACTTTGAAGAATGTTAGATCTGAGTACTCTTTCATTATTTGTTTATTTTAGAGAGACGCCCTCTATTCATTTACAAAAAAATGTTGTATTTTAGTTTTAATGCGCTCAGACTGTTGTGTTTTGTGATCATCTAGCATGGAAATGGGATGGTGCTTTTTTTTAACCATTACCTTTGATTCTTTGTCAGATCACAATGAAACTGATAGTAACTGTCATGAAACATAGAAATTTAATTGGGTTGCTGTCTGCTTTTTTAGAAGTGTGGTGAATGTTGAAAGTTAACTTAACATCTGAGCTTTGTTGCAAAAGGACTGAGTGGCTCATAGATATTTAGCCAACACAGTTTAGAAGTTAGTAGGGTTTTATTGGTGCTGAGCCATTGTTGACTCTGGTGCTTAGGCTTTGTATCAAAGATCACAATGAAGAAAGCTTATGCTTTAACCCAGCTCGCTTTGAGTCTCCATAGACTTTGAAGAACAATATATCTGAGTTGTCTTTGACACAAGTGCTCAAGTGCAATGGCTCAGTCACATACGACTTCAGCTCACACACACACAATTGAAAAACCCGACCAAAATGGTTGTAGTGTATTGCTTTTCTTCTGGTTTCTCATGTGTATTGCTTTTCTTCTGGTTTCTCATTTTCTACTCTTTATCTTCCTTTTCCTAAATTCAGGTTGGATGCAATAGCTGAGGATGCAGAGCTTCAGGAAAAGAGTGAGGCTGAGCTGAAACGGTTGATAGAACACTTGAAAAAGTCCTGTGAGGAAGCCATGAAAGATCATGCTCAAAAGCTGTTGGAAAATCCCAGTCTTGAAGGTAATAAATCGTGCCCACCCCTCCAACAAAATAGTTATCTGTTTAGAAATGAGATACCTTGTCTGCTGTGATGAATCAAATGAAGGATGGGGAAGGTTATTTCCTCTGTGAATGATATTTCAGCTTTGTCTGAGTAGACATTTTTACAACTGCAGGATTTGACAAAAATCAATTTCAATTTATTTGTATGAAAATTCAAAGTGCTTATTTTTTTACTTTTAAAGGTGCAAAGAAAACTCACAAGGGGCCATCCTTCAAGATCAACAGTGTAAGCATCAATGCACAGTCTATGCTCAAAGCTGAAGAGGACCTGAAACCTCTTGCAGAAGCTATTCCAGATGACAGAGAGCAGCGCAAAAAGTAAGTGACAAATAGGGGTTGCAAGTAATTGAATGTAATTTTATAGGTACAACCTGTTTGTGTAACGCACGCACGCGAAATGTCTTTAGGCCATTCCCAAAGGGTGGGACATTAACATCTCGAGTTCTTATGCACAGTAGAATTGTAATTGTAAATGGGCTGATTCATCAATGTCATGCTCGTGGGTGGTTGGCGGGTGCTCTGGTGTGGTTTGCTTCTTCTTTCCTATCAAACATCTATCATCCTTTTCTCCCCTGCTTCTGTTTTATGTTTGTTACTCTCTTGTAATACATCTAATCTTCTGGCGCTCATATGACCTTATGCAGTTGCCAGCGCCGTAACACTTCTACAAAAAAATATGTCATGCTCATAACTGCCTGAACTGCAACAGGGAACTGCTGCCTTTTCTTTTCTATTCCTTACTATCATCATTTTCCTCTACTTCTTTTGTATGATTGTCACACTAATGTGACCCGCTATTTCCGGGGTGCCTTGATAGTCGAAGCAGACTTTGTGCTGTTGAGACTAGAGAGGTGAGCAGAGTAAGTCTGATGCCCTGTAAGGACTTCTCTGTTGACATCCACCCCTTTGCGCTCATATGACCATATGCAGTTGAGAGCGCCAAAAAACCTCTACTTAAACTAAAAAACCTTTTTTGTGTCACCTGTGAAATTACTTGTTGTTATGAACCTAATGATGACAGAAAGGTTCAGTTTTCTATTTCTCCATTGTATAAAGACTCGAACAACAGGCTTTAGGAAAGTCTATGCTTAAATTTCACAACTTAATATGTTTTTTTTTGGATAAGATATTCCAAAAGCACATGTGGAAAGTCTAAATTTGTTTGTTCTCAGGTGGAGGCTGGATCACCAAGTGAAGAAAGTACATTGGGATTGCTTTTGGAACATAGATGATGACAGCAGTTTGTTGAAAGGCATCTATGAATATGGAATGGGCAGCTATGAGGCCATCAAGATGGATGAAAGCTTGGGACTTTCTGACAGGGTGAGCTGATGAAAATATTTTATTTTATACCATTCATTGCTTTGTGATGTTGTTGCTTGTGAGACGGTGGTGTGCTTTGATTACTCTTATTACTTTTTCCTTAAGATCTGTTATGGTCATGCGTACCTCATGTACTTAAGTGTTATTTCTGTGAAGTGTTATTCAAGACAATCTGAGGTGTGTTTTGCACGAGTCCAAAAAAAAGTCATGCTGAAAAGTTTTTTGTATTTCAGTAGTGTTAATCTACCATCTTTTTAATTAAACAAGATCATTGTAAATATGGGTATGCATCTGAGTGTGTGATAGAACGGTGAACTTTATTTTGTACAATCTATGTGCCACAGATTTTACCTGATGGGGAACTGAAGCCCCAGGCCAAGCATCTTCAAACACGTGTGGACTTCTTGCTGAAGATTTTGAAAGGGAAGGATGCCACCCCAACTCCTAATGTCAATGTAAGTAAAGCATAATCCTGTCCCATATGAAAAGGGTAAAAAGCTCTTTGAACATTTGAAGAGTACAACTTCTTAAAATATGTGGATTGAGTTGGTTGGTCCTTTTTGGCCATGGTCCTCTTCAGCCAGGTGTTTCCTCACTTTTTCTTCATATTCATCCTCCCTCCCTTCTTTCTTTCTCAACATTATGATAGTTCGTCTACATATCCATCCTTATTGAATTATGTTCTTGGATTACTGTGAGTTTGATACCAACTAATTCACAGTACAAATAATTTGAGGTAAAGTATCGTTTAAAGTAGGAAATGGAATAAATTGGTCAGATGGGGATAGTGATAAGCAACTGAAATTTAAACATTTTTTGTTGTATTTTCTCTTCCTTTTAGAAAATTGTCAAAGCCAGAAAAAGAAATCCAAAGTCCAAGGCAGAGGTGATAGATAAAGATGATTCCAGTAGTTCTGATGAAGGGAAGGAGAAGAAGCCACAGGTTGTAGATGCCCCATCCAAGAAGAAGCAACCCCCAGTGGAGAAGGAAATAAAGAAGGAGAATGATCTGTCGGACATCAGTGACAGTGAGCTGGATACAGATGACGAGTCCAAGCCGAAACCAAAGGCCAACAAAGCCAAACCCAAAAAGCCCAAGAAGGAAGTGAAAGAAGAGAAGAAAGAAAAAGAGAAGCCTGTGAAAGCCAAGTCGAAAAACAAAAAGAAGGTAACGTGAGATGACAATTGATGTAGTCTGAGGATGGGATTGATATGTGCTTCTTTTTAGTTTGGTCTCTTTAAGCCTTAGTGGTATCAAAGATTGTACATAACAAGATGGTCCAGTCAGCCAAAAAAGTGTCCGCCGGAAGTCAGCTCTTTGCTTCAGATGGCGCTGCAGTCTGTTTTGAAGCTCTCTTTCTTTTCTCCAGAAGAAGAATAGGAATAGCACCTCCTTGTGTGCGAGGATCGACTGCTGTTCATCAGCAGTTCGGGTTTGTTCAGAGGGAGTTTTTAGGTTTTTTTATTTTAATGACCTCTCGCCTTTCACTCTAAAGTCTAATTAAACGAAGAAAGCAGTCACCCCTTCCTCCAAAAGAGGTTTTTTTTGGTCAGCGTAACCATTAAAAAAAGCGTTCTTCCGAAATTTGAATTCTTATTTATTCAAAACCTTGTTAGTTTCACTTTGATTTTTTAACACAAGTAGGGTAACTTCGCAAAGGGTGCGATTTTTGAGGACACTTTTTTTAATTGGCTCAAAAAGAGGAGTGGACCCTCTTGTTATGTAGACTCTTTGGTAGTATCCAAACAATTGTCGGAAAGTAGAACTTAATCTTCACTGTGGAACATGTACACGGTCAAATGTCTTTCACTGTTGTGGTGTTAGTAATGTGTTATTCTCACATGAGATGTACTCCCTTTTATTTGGCTTGGTTCATGAAAGCAATATTCGCATTGTCTGAAATAGCTCTGTAGATTCCCTTCCACTTTCTAATGATAATCATGACATCTCTGGCCAAAGTGCTGTTAGATATCTTATATTTTATAGCTAGCCTTGTTTATTGGGGCTGAAAATCGACTAGCTTGGCATTACAGAGATGTGGAAATGGAGTGACGTGGGCCTGTAATTAAACGCATGTAATTTTTTTAGTATGGAGTGAAAGTAAAAAATACAGGTGAAGTTTTTAACGAAATAGCTTTTGATTCTAAGAGTGAGAAAGACATTGAAGATTATTTGACTACAAATGTTTTAACACCTTAAGGGTTGGGGTCACTTGCTGCAATGATGTGACCTTGAAAATTGTCAGTTTCGGTCACGTGACGCAGTTCTGCAACAGGCCCAAGAAGTCCGTTGCAGTCACTCTCCTGACTGGGTGATCAGATGGGGTGTTTTGTACTACTGGCTGTGTGACTGCAAAGGGTTAAAGTTGGTTGTGGAAAATTTTGAGTTTGCTGGATTTAGCTCACCACTTAAGATGTAGGGGTAGTGGTGGATCTGTTGGAAGTGGTGTTGTTGGAGGGAGATTTGGCAGTTGGAATCCAAACATTCAAGCTGTCGATAATAACCATGTTAACCGAAGGTGGTATCTTGTCACTTCAAAATATTGAAAAACAAAAGGAAAACTTGTGCTTTACGAAAGTTCCTTAAATTTCCTAGAATATTTCCAGTCCTGATCAAAATTGGATAAATCAAGGAATTTCTTTATCATTTTGTGGGGCAACCCAAAAAATAGCAAGTTGCCATGGAGGCTGGATCAGCATAAAAAACCCAGTCATGTTCGTTATTATTATGGGAGATTATTAGCTGAGACCTTGAGATTCTTTACAGGAGCTTGATAGGGTTTGGAAGATTAAAATCACTGATAGGTCTACATGTAAGTAGTTTTGTTTTGTTCCTGTGGGTAGCGTTATGTGTAGCTTATATTTGCCTGTCAGTGGAAGTCAATTCTGTCAGACCTTATATTTGTATATTCTTTTGTTTTGTAACTTTATGAAAAAATTACATTTTCAGTTGTCTGGTCCAATGCATTTCACTGCCTCATCTGCCCCCAAGGAAATTGGAGAGGAAGAAGAGGAAGAGGAGAGGAAAAACATGGATCCAAAGACCTTTGAAGAGGTATGGTTTGAATATTTATACAGTGGAAACCATATATAACAGGCCCGGTAATAACAGGGATCCGGTAATAACAGGGATGTTTAAAATCCCTGTTTTTTCCTGCTCTTTGTCTCTATTAAAAGTTATCGGCAATAACAGGGTCTCATCAGAGGCCAACCGGTTATAGCAGGGACAAAGGCTTGTTAACAATGTGTAAAAAGTAAGAGAGAGAGGACGACCGGTCGGCCTAGATCTAAGCCTACTCCTTTCATTATGGTCACCAACGACGTCAAGCGCAAGAGAAAATGCCTTTCAATGGACAAAAAATACAAAATAATCCAGACTGTTGACAAAAAGCAAGCTCCACTGGCAGAGATTTGTCGTCAGTTCGACATTCCACAAAGGTCAATTCCCACCGTTATCAAGGATAGAGAGAAGAAAGTGGCAGCATACTCCAATGAAAAGTTTGCTCTAGATCGAAAGAAGATGAGACTACCTGATGCAGATGCTGTGGACCAAGCTCTTCTGATGTGGTTTAAGGAGGCAAGGAGAAAGTCGGTGCCAAAACCCATGTTCGTGGGTACTTGTAGCTAGGGAAACTACCCATGAATAAGTACAGCTAGATTAGTCCACAAATGCTCACTTTCCTTGCGTAACGGATTTAACAGGGATCGGATATAACAGGACTTTTTCTCTATTCCCACCATCCCTGTTATATCAGGTTTCCACTGCAGTCAAGAGGAATTCATAAACACAGATTTAGAGTCGTAGGTCTGTATGGTTACCTTTTTTAGTCAGTGTTGCATTATCAATCTTTTTACCAGTGGTCCTTTCTTCATAATAGTGGCACCCTTTCTGCAAAGGAGAAATGGCACCTTTGAACGGCTCTCAGATGATACTCCTTTATGGTTAGAATGACTGCATTAATTTGGATTTGATTCACAGGGCTGTATTATATTGAACATTCCTTTTTGCAATTTTTCAGCTCTAAAATTAGGTTGGTAAGAAATCTCTGAATGGTGTTTCTTGGGGGTAGATTATCTGAAAGTAGTTTCTCCAATGGTGGATGTTACTTTGGGCAATAGTTTGAATTGAGCTATTTTGGGCAGATATTTGATGGGGATTAATGCCTGTTTAGTATGTGATAGAGTGATATATGTTTTTTTTCTTTGGTCAAGTCATAAAACATGAAACCTTTTTTAAAATGGTGTTTCAAGGGTGCTATATAATGTATTTTATGACAAGACTACCGGGCACAGATGATTTTTGTGATGAATGCTTTTGCTTTAACCCAGCTCGCTTAAAGTCATTGCTATGACGTTGAAGATTGAAATTTCTGAAAAGTCTTCTGTGCATCTACAAAATCATGCGCATCAAAGAGTGCAGCAGGTTGAGATTTTCCCAAGCTTATGCAACTTATCTCTACCCTTTCGCCCCTTCCGCAGTATATCTTATTTGATTTTTTTGGTTTTTGGTCAGTAATTGTTGATGAAACTGTGGATTTTGCTTCTTCACAAATATTCTTTTGCTCAAAGCTGTATATTGTATTGGAGTTACAGCCCAAAATAATAAATTGTTCTTGGATTTGATAAATGATTTAACATGTTTTTATAATGTTGTGTTTCAGTGCAAAGAGAAAATGCGCCCAATGAAGAAGGTTTTGAAGCAACTGAGTGAACCTGATGAAAGTTTAAATGAGAAGGAGCAAGTATCCTTTATTCGAAGCATCTTGCTGAAGATTGGCGACCACATTAGCTCTAGCATAGAGGAATTGTCTGATCCAGAAAAAATCAAATTTTGGAGAGAGTAAGTTACCGTATGATTTACTAGGGGAACTGTCTGTCTGTTTTTATCTGTTTTTTTACTTTGTCCATGTTTTGTTGATTTTTCAGGCATGGCAGCGATTCATGTTGTGAAATGCATGCTCTGTATCTTTTTGTCTGATCATTTTTTAAAGCAAATTGAACTCGGTGAAGAATGATCCCCAATGGTCGATCGTTACATTCCTTAATACTAGTACGGAGAACTTTTTTTTTTGGATGAACTTAAGGTTTTGTGTCAAATTGGTTCCATGCCATATATCAGTCAAGGCAGGGTTTTGAATTAATGTGCGCTGGGAATGCTTTTTTTTTTTTTGCTGTATGTCGTATGTTTATTTAAAATGCTTCATTGAATATTTTTGTCACCTAAACGACTTGCCTTAATCAACAACACTTCAACTTTTTATTGGTGTTTGAGTAAGCAGAAGTAATTTTGAATTATTTCAGTTGTATATTGCTTTAGTGAAGAATCAAAATTGAGTGCGATTGACCTTTGTTCTAGAACTGTTTTTATCTTTGTCTAAGTGGTTTGGGAGAAATTAAGGGGGACAGTTGGATGAAATACTACACATGCATTTTTGTCCTTTCTTTTGTTCTTAATTGGTAGTTTTATTTTTTAAATTTTATTTCAGCAAACTGTGGTTGTTTGTTTCAAACTTCACCACCTTGAATCACAAGAAATTGAGAAAGTTGTACAAAGGAGCTTGCAAGAAAAGGGATGATGACAGATTAAAGGACAAGAAAGGAAAAGACAATGTAAGTGGGGTTTCAGAGACTGCCACAGCCGGAAGAAAACTAATTCCTTCTTTTTTAGTGAAAAGAAACATTGTAGATTAGCATTAAAAATGCTTGCTTTTGTTTGACGCTTCATTACACAATGAGTGAATAAATATGTTGTCTCCCCCAATGACAGAATGACAGATTATTTATGACTGAAGTAACTTTTGAAAAAGACAAATTGTGTTTAATGTTCCCTGGTGCTGCAGACTTGTTAATCTAGTAAGTTGTGTGTGTGGGTAGTTAGCAGGTGCTCTGGTGTGGTTTGCTTCTTCTTCCCTATCAAACATCTATCGTCCTTATCTCCCCTCCTTTTTTTTTGTGTTTGTTACTCTCTTGTAATACCTCTAATCTTCTGGCGCTCATATGAGCTTATGCAGTTGCGAGTGCTGTAAAACTTATATGAAAACTAAAACTAAGTTGTGTGTATCTCTTGATAAGCACATTTTTTTAGGCTGAACAAACTGTTCTGAGCCAGCTTTTATTAGCTTAAATGCTGTCCCATCTGCTTTAACCTTATCCGTACGCCCTGGGACCATTTTGTACCCCCGCGGTTGTATTCTTCACATTTTAGAATACTTCTAGTACAAAAGTCTTTTTGAAACTTTCAGGATTTCTCCAAAAATTATTTTGACAGACTGCTATGCCAAGTGTACTGATTGGATTATCCTGTAAATTTCCTGTTTGAAAGTGGTGGCGTAGAGTTCCCCACGTCGTATGGATACGATAGTGAAACAAGAAGTACGGAGAGGGTTAAAGAAATTTACCCTACTTGTCTTTACATGAGAGTGTATACACTTCGATTCTATTTTTGCAGGGAACCGACTCTAGACAGAAAAACAATGCCTTGAAAAGAGCGCATGACAAAAGTGATAAAGAAGGTAGCTCGTCAAAGAAGCATCAGTCTGCAGGCAGGAATGATCGTTCTCATCACCATCAGCCACATCACAAAGACAGGTTAGCGTATAAACCAAATAATTCATTTTTGTTTTTTATTGTAATAGATGTACGAACATTTTTTTCCCCTAATTTACCTGCCATGCTATTGAGTTCAAACTTTGTGTAGATATGTGCCTGCATGCCTTGTGTAAGTGTTGTGGATAGGCAGAATGTGTTTCACATCTTTTTTTTTCTGTTAAAGTTTAATGTCGATGTTTAAAGTTTTTAGAAGCATGCGATTGTATTGGTACGTGTATTCTCTGTTGTAGCAAGATATTTGTTTGAGTCTTAACTTTCTGACATGAGTTCTGTTTTAAAGATGATCAGATTTTTGTTTAGCTGTTTTTATGTTTTGCTAGAATAACTCACTTTGAGCAGTGAGCTAAACATTTGAGCCCTTATCTTAGTAATATTGAGTCATATGAAGTCGCATGAATTTTATGGTGATACATAATTTTCTCTTAGTCAAGACAAGGTTTTTAATTAGAAATATTTAGTGTGCACTGGGAGTGCCTCACTGTTTTGCTGTATTTCATATGGTGAATTGAAGGGTCTCACTGCTCGCTGAATGTTACTCTTACTCTGTGGAATTGATCGTAATTTTTCGCCTAAGTGTAAACCATAATGATTTTTAAATGGATCAAGGCACATCTTGTAGGTGCTCTTTTAGTCTTTTGTCTTTTGTCTTCAAAGATAGTCTTAGATACGTTTATAATTGCAACCTGTGACCGCCTACTATTTGATTTACAGTCATGTAAATAGCAATCACAAAGGCCAACATCAGAGAGGGCCAGGAAGTCATCACTCACAGTTTCGCTCGGGTGTGCCAACCAAAGATGCGTTGACCTCTGACTTAAGTGTGAGCAGCAGTGGCAGTCCGGGCAATAACTGGACGTTGGCTAGTCCACTTTCTCGCACAGAAGATGTTTCCCGCAGCAGGTTAGCCTGACACTTTTTTCCTCAATTTTGAAAAACCTCATTTTTCAAACGGTTATTTTTTTTTTTAGTTCCCTTCCCTTCTTTACCTTGCCTTCACTTTTGTTTATGCTACAAATACAATGTCTTTATAATATATAGCTTAATTCTCATCCTGCTCCCTTTCCCAAACAAAATCCTTGAATAATCTCAACTTTAGGACCCTTTCACTGTCATGAAAACTTTTCTTCTCCATTAATGTTTTTGCTGTGATAGCAGCTATGTCTGATCTGTCTACCGCAAAAAAAAAAAAAAATTGCCTTTACACAATTGCACCTATGTGCATAAAAATTGTATTTAAAATTTTAAAGTGGTACATATTGTGTCTATCCACATGTAATAATTTTCAGAAATATACGATGTTTTATATGTGTTTTAATGTCTTTTTATGGAATGCTCTTATAGATGTGATGGTTATTGTACTTAAATTTTATGAAAGTTTGATATTTTCTGGAAATCCTGCTAAGTCAAGGTGGCACTCGTAGCACTGCCCATGTCACTGTGTGCTTGAATGTGTGTAGTGTAGACTTTGCATTTGGTGTAAAACCTTGCTTGAATGTTGTTCACACCTGTTCTGTGTTTTGTTTTTCTTTTCTTTTTCATTTTTTGATCCCCTATTCTCACCGACACTGTCTAAGATAAAAGTCCATGTATTTGAAATGTGTGATATTTGTGAAGATAAATGGAAAAAAGATGGATCATTGGAAGATAAGTGATTCAATGGGCATCAAATAAAACATTTAAAAGGCACCTGTAAGCTAAGTGTGGTGGGGTAATGTGTCTGTTAGTGGGCTGATCTAACAATAAAGCTTTCCTTTCTGCGGTCCCTTGAATTTTTGGGTAAATTTTGTATATTAGTCATATGCCATTCCTTCGTGCTAATTAGTTACTCCAACATAACATTATTTTTTTGTTCATAGCACAGGGCCACCCACTATATGTTCATGGGTTTCTTTATGAGTGTATACCCCCTATCGGAATTAATTGTAGAAGTAAATGATTTAATAGTTGATATCTTTACTTGCATATGTTGAGGTTTCTGACTGGTGTTTATGTTTTACATATGGAAATGGCAGTTATCCCATTCTAACGCTGTAAAGGTAGTCGCACCCTTCATGTGTGAGAAATGGTAATTGAAAATAGCTTCCTTTGTCTGGTATTATACAGAAAAGATGTCACCCCCCCCCACCCCCCCCCCCCCCCACCCCCCACATGCTCTGATTTCATATGCGCAGTCCCACTGATTCTTAGTCCTTTTCTTTCTCAATATTACGATGTATCCTTTGCTTTTTCTGTATTTAGAAGTTGCACTGTGCTCGTTGACTTATTTCAACAGAACTCAATATGCAGACTGCATGGTTGTTGTCATGGGTATGTTCATTGTCTTCTATTTCTCAGATATGATAGTTCCTCACATATGTACAACCGTCACCCTCATTCCCATCCCAACCCCTACTCCTCACATCATGAGTCTCATCGCACTGACAGGGCTGATTCCAAAGATTCTTACTACAGGTGAATATTTTCGCATACTCATAGTATGTGTGGTGATGCTTGAGAACAGGACTTTTTGCCTGTCACTTTTGTCCTTTGTCCAAGGTTTATTTCATACATATGTATGACACCATTTATGCAGTTTTCTTCAGTATTCTAGAACCAGGAGTAATCAACTGCATAGATCTTTTTTACAGTTACTGACAGGGCATGCGTAGATGTGTCAATGTTTATTATCAGTGTAATGCTTGTGCTTTAATGTAACTTATCGTCATTTCATGAGGTGTTAAACAAATTATCTCACGTTTTTTCTTAAGTTTAATCACCTGCACTTTTCAGTTATCGTCAATGGTAATATGAGAGAGTGCTTGCGCTACACTTCACATGTTATCCATTCTTTTGTTCCTTTGGCATTCTGTCTCTTTATCCTTCTGTCACTCTTGTCTTGTATTGTTGTCTTTGTCTTTATTCCTTCATATACTTGCGTCTCATTTTTTTTTGTTTTTAAACTCCTGAACAATTAGTCATTTCCTCCTTGTGTCCTTTGAATAATGTGCAAAATGCACCAGTGTCAATGATCTGAGAAAACATACTTTTTTTGGTTTGTATTCTTTATTTGTGTAGTCTTTATTTGTGAGCTTCTATAAAGGTAAAGTTTAGTAGTGGTTCTTTGTGTCACTGGTAACATTGTTTATTTGCACTCTTTACATTCAGTATAGCTCGTGTTATGTCTTAATGAGCTGTAAATAACCTAAGTGAAAACAGGTAATGCTGCTGCAGTGCTGTAAATGAAATACGGTTTGCAAAAAGGAAAAAATATGTTTAAATTGTCTACAAAATTTCCTCATTGATCACCAAGTTGCTGTGCAATGGACAGTGTTTTATACCTTTCAGGAAATGTGTTTCATGATGGTTTTTCTTTCACATAGTAGCCCTAGAGACATGTTTTTCGCGATTGCCGGAATAGTACTTTTCGCCATTTTTCCTTAGTTAAGATTATGACATTTTTTATAACATAAAAAACAATAAATCGTGTAAACATGTTCAAGCACCTTCCACTTGTGCATTTTGCAGGCCTGATTTATTTTGTGGAATACATGCTGTGGCCATATCTTGTCCAGGCAGCTAGCATTGTATGAAAAATTTGTTCCCAGACTCATAGTTGACCCTGAGTCGGACAGTTTGTAGCTGTTACTCAGCCATCATTGCTGCTGTAGGTGGCAGAGGGGAAAACTGACTCGCCATTCTCATTTCAATAGGGGAATTGTCCTTGTCTACTCATGGGAATTTGTAAGCCTTCAAGTGTATTGTGTTCCGTAAACTTCTGCTATCCAAATGCATTGGCTTCAGACTGGTATTCACATTGAGATTACCTGAATCTCCAGGTTCAATGACAGGCAAGGCCCAGGCGGACAGCACTATCACAGAGATTACCGGGGTCGAAATGAGCACCGAGCAGGGTACCGCCCAGACCCGCACCGGGGCGACCATTACCGTCCAGAGTATGGCAACCATTACAGGGACCAGGGCATGTCGCAACAGCAGCACTACAGTCGGGATCGGGCCTCAGACGATTGGGGAACAAATAGGTAAGGATTGCTGTGATTTTCAGCTCATCATGAATACTGTGTTCAATATTCTGTTGATGCAGGTTTGTTTTTATCCCTCTATTATTTTCTTTAATTATATGCTCTTTACTGGAACCATGGCCAGGTTTGGTCTGCTGTGAAAGGTTTAGGCCTACATTGTGAGACTGAGGTAATTTCACCAGCAAAGTTATGGCATTTGTACGAAGAATGTAAACACCCTTTCCTCTTTTAAATAGATTTTTAAAAAAATTTCACATCACGAGTGCGATGGCCTTGTTTCAACATTTGGTTTTATTGTCTTTCCCCAGTCACCACTCATACAGTGGAGATCGCAAGCGGAGGAACAATGACGATTTCCATGACTGGGAACGGCGTCAGAAAGATCCTCGCATGGACATGAAGACTCGCTACCCCCCTGGCCAGCCCCCTCCCCCGGGGGATTCCCCAAGTTTCTCCCACCACTGACCCTAGCCCTGCCTCTGAGGCAGGAAGGACTCGATTTGCAGGCATCATCAGCTTCATCTCCATTTCAGTATCATCCCCTTCTCTCTCACAAACCTGTTTTTGTTTCCGCCCCGCCTCCCCCAATTCACATTAATTGTCCCCCTGTGACTTAGTCTCCCATTTGTTAGGTGTTCTGCCGTTTGTTCTTCTTGCCGTAACAAGAAGGGCCAGTGTGATAATACTTTGATAAGCATTCCAAGCCTTTGTGGTAAGCAGGAATTACAGTTCCCTCTGTTGTAGCTTTGAAGCTGCAAGTATCATGCAGATCTGGAAAATACCATGCGAACATTACAGGGGGAAACAAAAGCTAAGAACACAGAATTGTAGGATAAGTTGCTTAGTGTATGCCTCTCTTTTTTTTTTTAAGGTCGGCAAGGAAGGGGAAAAATTGTTGGCGCGACTTTGGTTTGATTTCCGTCCTTCCTGCCTCAGTGGCACCACGTTTTCACAAACTTCTGCTGACTGATTGATGGATGCAAGTTGTTATTGAAGTGTATGATTTAGTTTGAGTTTGCCAGTTCAGACGAGTAGGTATACGATGAACCTGTGAAGTCTGAATTACCTTTATATTGAATCCCTGACCAATGCTTCCCGTTCTACTGTTTTTGCCTTACACTGAAGTGGAAAGTGACTTTACAAATTGATAATGAAGTTAAAAGATGATATGTTTGGAATGGGCTGAGATAAATAAAGACAAAGGTTTTGTTACTCCTTGCACAAGTAATTGTCCCTTATATTGGCTGGCTTTAAAAATTATTTGAAATTGTTTAGATGATATGGTCATGGTCATAAGCACATACGCAAGTTCATGGAAGGGAAGGAATGCCTTGAAAACTGGGGTCAGAGCCAAGCCGTTTGGCCAGGGCAGATCGGCCAAATGATAAATGTTTTCTATAGTGGTGAGTCCTCCTTGTTGAGTGGTTATACTGGCAGAAATACTGAACATTGTGACTTGAATTTTAGAACTGTTTTTTTTGGAATAAAATTACACTGTCAATGTTTTTGTAATTTGTTATTTTGTCATTTTCAGCTACCAGAAGAAAGTGGGCGTTGGCCCCGTCTTTTGAGATTGTATAGTGCTGTAAATTATGTGATGGATTTTTGTTCCACAACATTAACCTAGGAGTACTTGCCTCTCATGACTCAAAAGTGACTGGGGAAACAGGTTAGCTTTTACCACCGTCTCAATAATAAAAGTATAACTGACCTCAGCACATGCATTATATCTTACAAGGAAATGTTATTTCCCTTCAAGAATTTCTGACAAAGCAACTTCGACCACGAGAAATGTGAATTGGTCAAATGCACACCTTTGCAAATTTTATGGGTTTTTAAGGGACTACCCTTGGTATGGAGGCAGGTCCTACCAGACCTAATGCATTATTTTGCGTATTTAAAATTAGTCACTGTACAGAAGTGACAGCTTTAAATGATGGTTCCCTTCCTCTTGTTAGCTGTGTCCCTTTCTGACATGCACCCACAAACAACCTCTTATTTGATCCAAGGTTGCATGATACGAGTCTTCCAATATGAGAAGATCCTGGATTGGAATGTCATTTTTCTCTAAAACTACCTCGAGAAGCTGCTTTGACAGCTTTTGAAACGATCTGGTAACGTTCACATAATTCTTGCAATTGCTAAGTTTAACTCGTTCATATTTTTTTCTAATCTGTAAAATACCTTTGTTTAGAGCAGAGGCCTCCAGCAGTATGTGAAAATAATCCCTGTTTTAAATGTAGAATTGACATAAGTTCTGAAGTTAAAGAAGAATTTCTGTTCTTCCAAGCTTTCTAACGGATGACAGGATTTTCCACTTAAAGCCCCCTTATGTATTTTTTTTTCCTTCCCCAAATTGTAAAAATTGGTCCAACCTACCCAGAAAAGGGCTCTATTTTTTTCCACACTTCTGTCTCTAATAAATATATATTTGATTTTCACTTTTTGCTCTAGTTTCATTTTCTGTTCAAAGCTGTGTCAATTTTTACAAGACTTACTTGGAGTCATTGAAAGTATGGTCACTAAGAGGAAGTTTTTATCCTAAAAACGTAGACTTGGCTTTGTCTCTGTCAATTGTTTGCATCTGGCCTGAGGGGAAGTGTTGTACCAGTGGCATGGTGTCGTTTATTTGGACTGTCTGCTCTTGTGCTTTGTCAGGAACTTATATGAAAGCACAAGGGTTGTCTGAAAGGTGTGGGGGCTTTGGGCTAAAGTTTGTGCATCATTCAGAATTGTTATATTCTTGCTGCACAGTTTGTTGTTTTTCTTTTTGAGTGAAAATTGTTACAACAGTATTCTTCTGAAAAACATTATGGCCTTTCTCTGAGGATACAAGATGGCTTTGGTGAGATTTCCAAATGTCATGGCTGTGCTTTGAACATTTTATGTGGTTTAACAACAGGAATGTTGCATTTAATATGATGTATGTTTGGTATGCATTGAGATTATTTGAACATCTTTGGACTATAATAATCTGTTGTCTGTTTAGGAGTAAATGCTGGAGGGAACAATTTAGCCTGCATGCCTACCAAACCAGAAACCAATTGACCAAAATCTGTAGCTGAAACAATTTGAAAGTTTCGTTTGGATGTTTCCACTAACATGATTCGACCCCTCCTGACGAAAAAAAGGTTGGAATGCCGGATGTAGCGTTTTAAGTGTGGCCGTGTAGTGATTCATTGGCCATTGGCCCAGCTAGAGCTAAAGAAAAATTTAATTTTAAATTCCAATGACAAATCTAATGTTAAGTTCATTATCGGCACCTCGAAATCAACGAAGGCTGCGCATAGACCACTTGTTTAAGTGCGTATAAACTTTTACTAATTTAAAAAGTTGTTAGTTTGGTATTCCTACCTTGCTTCCTTTAACCTTTGATCTGTTCTCGTGTGATGGAATCTACCAGACTGAATTGCCTCTTCCTGACAAAATAAAAGGTTGTTTCTGCTTTGGTGGACATGCAACCATTGGGTGCAGAGCTGTCTGGTTTCTTGGTCTAGGTTGCAGATATAATGAGTTGTGATTAGAGACCCAAAATAGCACCCCTTATTTAGCTTGTCCTTGCTTTTCTTTTGTTATAATGCTGTGTTTGTTGTGAAGAATTAGAACTGGAAGTTGTGTGAATTTTGCCCAGTTTAGATTCCTTGATATTATTTGACCTGTGTAGGCCTACTTCGAGGACAGGGCTCTTTCAAATCTCTCTTATACAGTAGAATCTGCTTATATTGACATGCTTTGGGAAGTGGATTCCATGTCGATATGTAAAGTACCAAAGACTGAGCAGTGCGAGGCGCACTCTACACACCAGTTCAAGCTTTCTTGTAGAATGGGGTGGGAAGCGGAGTGAGTGATCGGGAGTGGAAGTAGGTAGGTGATGCCCAGTGCTGAGACGCTCACGTCTGTGAGGCACTACTGTCTTGGAGACTACACTGTGTAGGCCCTACATGACCTACTAAAGCCTGGTGTGTTGAAATAGCCTACTTGGCGTGTAAGTGGACTTAATGAAGAACTACTGCGTTGACCATTAAAGCGTGGCTCTCCCCCCATTTATGTTCGTGGGCTTCACTAGGTACCTAGGAAGCATTAGGTACCTAGGAAGCATGTCGATAAAGCAGAGTGGGTCGAAAAAAAGTTGGTATAAGAGAATTTGTTTTGTGAAGATATTGAAGGAAAACTTTCGTAATTGTCAAAATGTTGATAAATCGAACGTCGATATAAGTGGATTATACTGTATAATTTCATTTTGGTATATAAAAAAATTGATCAGAATATTAAAGCACTTTGTTTTTTATGTATCTTAAGTTAAGTCTTAAAATAGGCAGCTCATTGTTTTGTATCCAAATTTGTTTAGTTTTGTTTTCTCTGTTAAATAAATTTGACTCTACATAGTATTGATTGCTATGCTGTGGTGGCAGATCTTTTGATGTATCAAATAGTATGAAAGGATCTTAGTGCACAGGAATGTGCTTTGCTTATTTCATGGAAAGTGAATAGGATTTCAGTTTTCAAGATTAGGGGGTGAGAGGTTACACTTCTAAATGAGGTAACACGGAGTACGGAGAAGTTTCTGTGTACTGGGATAGGTATTTAAGTGTGCAAGTTTTGAGAGCAACACATATTGATGTGACTGAGGTGTTCATTTCTGATGTGCTACATTAATGTATTGCATTTGTTCTTGTACATGACTCCTCATTTCATGTATATAGTGTAAATATGAAATAAAGACATTGATGAAAGTAATCCTTTTTTTTAGTGGGCACTTTCATTTTTAGTTGTTGTTTCGTGCTGTTTTAGTTTTGTTCTTTTTCTGTTGTCTTTTTGTTCATAGGTGTGGTATTGTGTGGATTCCCTCCAGGGTACCAAATGTTGTTATGCTCTCCTTACTCTCGAACAGTGAGTGAAACAGGAAAAATTATGTTTAGACCTAAACTTTTTTCATTGTTCTAAAAACCATTACTGAGGTCGAGCCAAAGGTTTTCCATGAAACTCGAGGAGTCGGCGATAACCAATCGGTGTTTTATACATGTGTCTGGTGTGCCATGCATTAACTAAACCATCAAGAAATGATGAAAATGCTCATTAGTCGGATCTGTTGCCCTAAGATTATGATATTGATAGATAGTGATGTCAGATCTGGATTCATGTCATTTGTTGAATGATCTGCAAATCTTCATTCATGCCAATCTCAGCATTCATGACATTTGCTACCTGCCACAGGTTCGAACACTGGTGATAGTCTATTTCCTGGCTATCATTTTCTTTATGGGTGGTTGGCAGATGCTCTGGTGTAGTTCGCTACTTTTGTATATATCAAACATCTCTCCTCCGTTTGTGTTTGCTACTCTCTTGTAATGCCTCTGACCATCGGCACTTGTAGTTATAGGACTTTGTTGTATTGCAAGAGAGACGGGAAGAGTAAAACAGAGGGGGGGAGAAAGAAAGAGGAGTTGGTGGTACATGAGTCTGGTGGTAAAAAGGGGTATCATCAATTGCCATCTTGACTAGTGTTGTTACTCATTGTTAGACTGGTAGACAGTCAAGTCATTAAAGACAAACTGGCCAGTTGAGCATCATCTAGATGTCTTGCGCGACTGGTATTTACACGAGAAACACGAGAAGCAGCCACTTAGCTTACACGTACCTACGGCTCCAGCAAAAGTTTAGGTACATTCAAATTGAAAGAAACTAGGCTATTATATAAGTATTAATTATACATGTATATTCTCTGCTACATTTTAAAGTATTAACTATTACCTGTCCTGGGCAACAACGTTATTGCACACCGGACAGGTCCATAACTTAAGTGCTCAGTTCCCCCCAGCACCAAAGCCCGCAAGGTATCCATACTGATTGTTCCGGTGACTGTCTGATTATGGCGATGTCTTTCCTTTCCAGATAATCGTTCCTTTCTTCCTTCTCCCCTCTCTATCCCCATTTCCCGCATCCTAATGATTGCGAGGTGTTCTGCTGTCTCCCTGTCTTCTTCATCCCGCAACCTTTTCTCCAGGGTCTTCAACACTTTTCCTTTGTCAAATTTCACCTCACCATCAGCCACGGCACTGCCTGCCAGCCTATCAGTCTCCTCATTGCCTTTCACTCCTCCAGAGTGCCCAGGACAGAATATCCACGTGATGGCTCTAACTCTAAGTGATGAGTGTTGTATGGGGTTCATCTATTCACTCCCAAGAAGCCCTTTCTCAACCCTTCGCAAGATGCTCTGGGAGTCCGTGACAATAATGAGATAGGTAGATCTAGTTCTTGGTCTTGTATTATGAAGCCAGCCAAGCGCTCTTGTTACGGCCTCAATCTCCATTTTCATGCTTGAAGTTGTTCTTTCTATGGCCCCTGACATGCCATGAACCTTTTTGTTCCCACTGTACATCACAAAACCCCACCCACTTCTCTCACCCCTCCTGACTGATCCATCCGTATAGATTCTATCACTGGGTCCTCTAGCTTGGAATGCTCCTCAATTAACTGTCGTATATCGTTGTCGTTAATGCCAGCAGCACATTCCCGTCTTTCACGACTCATAATAGTGATGTGAACGTTGGCCAGGCATCTGCAATCGGGGCTCAGTTCAAACCACTCCTTTCCACAGCATATTTCATCGATGCCACAAACTTTCCTCAGGGAGTCTTCGGCATTTTTAAGTATACACTGTTAAATATAAAGAGCAAGTTTCAGTGAGCCAATATTCTTAAAAATTTCAGAAATACTAATTCAATCAATTCTTAAACAGAAAAGAGCATCGACAAAAAGGAAAGTTAACGTAACAGGTTTATTCCCGACTTGCAAGAGTGGAGGGTGGTCTACAAAAGTAACATGATCAGTTGCGCGTTTGATGTCCTCTTGCACTGAGGACGGCCTTACATCGTCGCTGCATGGAATCAATCAACAAAAAAACAAAACAAACTATCTAAGCTTCTTAGTTCAAGCTTTGTAATATCCCGGACGGTTGGCTCCGACATTGAGGGCCGGCTCAGCCTCTGTCCAACTGAATGTTGGTGGTGTCATAGTGAGTCATAGTCATAGCTCTCGAGTCGAGCGCAGGCACACACTACCTGTCTCCGGCGTTTTATGCAAGAACAATTCTGAATTATGCAAACTGAGCCGAAAAATGTGAAATTATGCGATTCTGTTAATTTTAACAAAGAATGATAAAGGAAAATAATCAGAAATTATGCACAAAAAAAGATCAAATTTTGCTAAATTATGCGGGGTGCATAAAACCACGGGGACAGCACACTACACACCATCAGGCGTTGAAAGAGAACACGGACCGGCAATTCTTGGTACAAGTAATTTGGGCCCTGCCACCCCCCACCCCCTTTTTTTTAAAGAAAGAAAGAAAAACCGCCTCTTGCAATTATATGTAATAACGTCATGCAACGACCCAAGTGTGGTTTCACTTAACACTTAAAAGTGGGGACCTCGGACGTGTTGACAAGTTTAGGCCTAATATTAAGTTCCGAATGGAAGGCTAAAATTTGCTTTTACCCAATTTTGCTCATGTGTGTCGTAGAGTTGTTTTGTTCTGCCTTTTCATATTTGGAATAGTTTAAGAATACATGTATATCGTTATAAAAATCGAATAAACGGTTACAACAACAACAACAACAACAATAATAATAATAATAATAATAATAATAATAATAACAACAGTAATAATAACAATGGTAATACCAATGCATGTAATGATTACGATTATATTAGTTCACCCATAATAAATTACTGATGTTGACCTTTAAATCCCAAGAAAGAAGAGAAGCCATTGACCTTGTAAGCTACCGCAGATCAACTATCATTATAGAGAGAAAGATAAAGGAAATATAGCAAACAACTTGTAATAATCATGGTCAACACAATTCGCCAAGCGATAGTAAATTAATGAATGAGAATGTCTGACACTAACCTTATTTCGTCCAACATTTTTCACCGACTCACCCCGTCTCAGTGGGTGGTTGGCGGGTGCTCTGGTGTGGTTTGCTTCTTCTTTCCTCGAATATCTGTCGTCATTATCTCCCCTTTTTTCTTTTTACGTTTGTTATTCTCTTGTAACACCTCTAATCTTCTGGTGCTCATATAACCTTATGCAGTTGCGAGCGCCGTAAAACCTCTACTAAATCTAAAATCTACCCTCTCTTCCTTATTACATGTATTTTTTAAATTTTTTTTAGGGGGGGAGGGGTCTTTTACTGGTGGCATTTTGCTTTATAAAATATAGAAACTAACGCCGTTGGGGTTTGGAGGGGGGGGGGCATATATTTAAAACCACAATAATAACCGTCGTTCAAACTTCTTGTCTGAAAAAAAAATTGGACCAAAACTTTTAAATTAAAAAAAAATTCGTTGTCGGCAGGATTCGAACCTGCGCGGGAAGATCCCAATGGATTTCTAGTCCATCGCCTTAACCACTCGGCCACGACAACTGCTGACTGCTAAGAATGTCTCAACGGTAACATTGCAGGGCCGGTTGCACCAGCGCCCTGCCCTCATGCTTTTCTCTCGTACCGTTAGTGTTTCCTTTATAGCTTCCCACTAATAATCAATCGGCATTAGTTTTAAGTAAATTTGATCTGTAACAGTGATGGACGAACATATCTCTGATCACCAAGGGAGTACAGCACATTGACCTGACAACGAGCTTCGCTCACTACGTCACCCAGCTGTTTGATATTTGGGTTATGTCCCTTACACCACTCGCCAGTCGCCAGATGGCATGTGGAGCTTTTGTGACTCCCCCCTTCCTCGCTGGTTTGTTTATCACTTTCTTTTGATTTTGAATCGACAAAAACCTGTCTCGTTATTACTGAACGTCCAATTATAATTTTGAACAATTTCTCGCTAACTGAATCCTTGAATAAGAAAAAAAATTGAAAAGCGTAAACATACTGAATGGCAACTTTACATCCCTCTTATTTCCAACACATTGAGAGACTCTGGCAAACAAGAGCAATTGACAAGGTAGGATTCCTTAGAAATAATCAAAAACAATGTAATTTATATAGTAGGCATGTGTAAATAGATATCTAAACAGATCGTTATTACAATAGATGTAGCAAATTCCAAAGCTTTATGATTATGATTAAATTGTATGATGCTCTTAAACATACGAACAAAGTAAACAGGTATTGACTAAACCCAATCTCTCCCCAATATTCCCTGTTGGACCTTGACACCTCTGTTGTATTGAGGATCAAACGTTATCAATGTGCCCCCCCCCCCCTCCCCCCACTTGCTCATGTCACCATGTGTCTTATAAACTTAAAAACCCATCACGTCTTTTATCTACTTGTTACTTGTTATCTCTTCATCTTTATCTACATATAAACTCGCTTAAAGCTTCAAATTCACTCGTCAGCATACACTATATCACCCCCCCCCCCCAATTAACTACAGCACCAAAGATATGAACAGAATAAACAATAAAAAAAGATTTGAACATGCAAAAACTGAAGAAAAAAAAATCAGGAACAGCACTCTAACGGCAGCCTTTTTGCTTTGGGCCATAGGCTGGAGAGTGTGAAAACGTGAAGCTCAGAAAACATTATATCCACGGTATCGACACATTTGTCATTAATTTACCAATTCCTTCTCTAGCTCTCACCAAGGCTAAATTTGACGTGCCAGGGGGAGGGATGCACGTGAACTGTTTCGTTTCTGCCCCCCCCCCCAACCCCCCTCAGACAAGCATTTTTTTCTCTTCTCTCACCCTGTGTGTTAGGAGTGGGAGTAGC